GACTCCAACTCAGACTCAGACTCCAACTCAGACTGCGCCTCGCCGCCACACACCGCAGTCGGCACCGTGAAGCTTCACGCCACTCTCTCACTCTCACAGTCTGCGGCGAGAGCCCCGATGTGGAGAGTGCGTGTGAGGGGTTGAACTCAGACTGCGCGCCGCCGCCGCACGGCTCGCGGCTGTACGTACCTCCCCTCCCACGCCTCTCCGGCGGCGTCAGGCGCACAACTCCTTCGCGCCCCCCGACCCCTTCATGTCGGACAACAAGCGCGTGGCGACCAAGGACGACGACCTCTACCACTTCATCGCCTACGTCTCGCAGAGCCGAGATTCGCCGAGATGTAGCCGAGATGTCGACCTCCGCCACTCCACCGCCCGCGTCGCCTCCGCGCGCGCGCCGTCCGCGCGCGCGCCGCCGGCGCCGCGAGAGCGCGGCGCCTCGCCGGAACCTTCTCGGAGCCTTCCCCGCAGGTGCCGGTCGCAGGCAAGCTCTACGAGGTACCCTTCCGACACCCTTCCGAGACCTATTGACACACCCTTCCGACACCCTTCCGACACCCTTCCAAGACCCTTCCGACCCCCCCCCCCCTCCCTCCCACAGCTTGACGGGCTAAAGCCGGGGCCGGTGCTGCTCCGCGAGCTAGCGTAGTACCCTACCCAACCCGGTACCCAAACCCGACGAGATAAAATAGGTGCTGCTCGGCGAGCTGCCGCAGGGAGCAGACTGGCTCGAGGCAGTGGCGCCGGCCATCCAGGCACTGCCGCGCCCTATACCTCGGCCGCACCTCGGCTGCACCTCGGCTGCACCTCGGCCGCACCTCGGCTGCACCTCGGCCGCACCTCGGCTGCACCTCGGCCGCACCTCGGCTGCACCTCGGCCGCACCTCGGCTGCACCTCGGCTGCACTTCGGCTGCACCTCGGCCGCACCTCGGCTGCACCTCGGCCGCACCTCGGCTGCACCTCGGCCGCACCTCGGCTGCACCTCGGCTGACCCTCGGCTGCACCTCGGCTGCACCTCGGCCGCACCTCGGCTGCACCTCGGCCGCACCTCGGCTGCACCTCGGCTGCACCTCGGCTGCACCTCGGCTGCACCTCGGCTGCACCTCGGCTGCACCTCGGCTGACCCTCGGCTGCACCTCGGCTGCACCTCGGCTGCACCTCGGCCGCACCTCGGCGGCACCTCGGCTGCACCTCGGCTGCACCTCGGCTGCACCTCGGCTGCACGTCGGCCATCTCGAGCCTCGCCCGGTGCCTTTGCCGCAGGCGCGCATCGAGCGGTACTCGCAGAGCGAGATCCGGTTCAACCTGATGGCGATCACCGCCAGCCGCGCGGACGAGCTGCGCAAGCAGATCGCTAGCCTGGCCGAGGGAGACGCCGCGCTCGCCGAGCGGCGGCAGCTGCTCGCGGTGGAGGAGCAGAAGCTGGCGCGGTGGAAGGCGGAGAACGTGCGGCGCAAGCACAACTACCTGCCCTTCCTCATCAACCTGCTCAAGGTGCTCGCAGAGAAGCAGCAGCTCGTCCCGCTGATCGACGCGGCCAAGGAGAGGCAAAAGCAGAGGGCGGCTGCGGGCGGCGGCGCAAAGTGAGAGAGAGAGGAGGCTCCCCTCGACCCACGGTGCATATGCATACACACATCATACTCAAGGTTGTTGGCTGCTTGGCTGCGCGCTCGTGTGAGGACACTGCATGTAAGAGATGCATTCTACCCCCGCCCAAACACCTACACACGTCCTCGCCCGGGGGCGAAGCTGTTCGTATGCGACGCCGGCAGCAGCAGCAGCTTGTAGCTTGAGCTCGCCAAGGGACGAGCTCAACGACGCCGCGCGGTAGTATACATCCCGTCGTGCGTCCTCGCACTCTGCTCATCTCCCTCGCTCGCAACTCAAAGACAGCGCCGTCGGCCGTGAGCGTGAGGGCGCGAAGCCACTGCAACTCCCCTACTGCGTCTCGCGCGTGATGGCGAAGCCCAAGACGCAGTGGCCAAAGTCGAGCGCCGCGATGCCGTTCTCGGCTCCTGCCGAGTCGAGGTGGTACCGCTCGTGGATCTCGTAGAGCGAGACGACGAGGAGCGCCGCCCGCTCGCGCGCCGCCGCGGGGAAGAGCGAGTGGCTTGCCGGCGACCACGGCGCCGCCGCCCGCCGAACCAGCGCCGCCGCCTCGCCCTCGCCGCCCGCGGCGCGCCGCAGCGGCGTCGGCTCGCCCTCGTGCAGGCTTGCGCCGCTGCGCAGGAGGGAGGTGGCGCGGGCGGCGGTGAGGGTCTCAAGGTGCGCGAGCGGCGTCCAGCCGCGGCTGGCGACCAGCCAGGCGGCGATGGCGGCGTGGCCTTCTTCGGTTGCAACCTCCTCGGGCGTGCCGAAGGGCGTAGCAGCGCGGGAGGCGCCGTAGGAGGAGAGGAGCTTGACGACCTCGAGGTGGCCCTGGTGGCACGCCGCGAACAGCGGCGTGGCGCGTTGGAACTGGGCTTGGTCCATCGCAGCGCCCGCCTCGAGGAGCAGCCGGGCGACCTCGAGGTGGCCCTCCTGGCACGCCGCGAACAGCGGCGTGGCGCCTTGTTCATCGGCCTGGTCGATCGCCGCGTCAGCCTCGAGAAGCAGCCGGGCGACCTCGAGGTGGCCGAAGTGGCACGCGGCGAGCAGCGGCGTGGCGCCGTCGCTGCGGGCTTGGCTTACCGCTGCGCCAGCCTCGAGAAGCAGCTGGGCGCACTCGAGCTGCCCCATCTCGCACGCGATGAACAGCGGCGTGACGCCATTCTGCTGGGCCTGGTTTATCGCTGCGCCAGTCTCGAGAAGCAGCCGGGCGCACTCGAGCTGACCCTGCTGGCACGCAACGAATAGCGGCGTGGCGCCGTTCTGCTTGGCTTGGTTGACCGCTGCGCCAGCGTCGCGCAGCAGCTGGGCGCACTCGACGTGCCCCTTCTCGCACGCGACGTACAGCGGCGTCGCGCCGTCCTCGTCCGTTTGGTCCTTTGCGACGCCGGCCTCGAGAAGCAGACGGGCGATCTCGAGGTGGCCCTTTAGGCACGCGATGAACAGCGGCGTGGCGCCGCTCTCCTCGGCATGGTTGATGTCAGCGCCAGCGTCGCGCAGCAGCCGGGCGATCTCGAGGTGGCCCTTTAGGCACGCGATGAGCAGCGGCGTGGCGCCGTCCTTGGCCTGATTGACCGCCGCGCCAGCTTCGAGGAGCAGGCGGGCGATCTCAACGTGGCCCGCCCGGCAGGTGACAAACAGCGGCGTGAAGCCTTTACCGTCGGCGTGAGCCACCGCCGCGCCGGCCTCGAGAAGTAGCCGGGCGACCTCGAGGTGGCCGAAGTGGCACGCGGCGAACAGCGGCGTGGAGCCGTCATTGCGGGCTTGGCTTACCGCTGCGCCAGCCTCGAGAAGGATCCGGACGCACTCGAGTTGCCCCCTCTCGCACGCGATGAACAGCGGCGTGACGCCGTCGTCAGCAGCTTGGTTGACCGCCGCGCCAGCCTCGAGGAACAGCCGGGCGCACTCAATCTGCTCCTCCTGGCACGCGATATGCAGCGCGGAGCCGCCGCCGCCATTCGTCGCCCCGACGCTCGCGCCGCCTTTGAGCAGCAGCCGCACCGCCTCGGCCTGCCCGTGACGAGCGGCCCAGGTGAGCAGCGTGTCTTGCTTCTCGGTGTCGTGCCGCGCGTTGAGCGTGCCGCGCGTCCGCCGCCCGGAGAGGAAGGCGCGCAGCCAGGCCAGGTCGCCCCGAGCCAGGTCGGCGAGGCGGGTTGGGAGGATGGCGCCTCTCAATGCCCGCGCGCTGGATGCGGTACTTGGCGCACGAGAACGACGCCGTGCGCGGCGGCTGCATCTTTGGGCGCTTTTTTGAAGTGACGCCGCGCGACCTGATTGCCGATGGGCTGTACAACGACCTCGCCGTCGGCTGCCACACCGGCCCGCATCGCCAGGTGTCGCTCGCCCTCCTCGCAAAGGCGCTCGGCGCGACCCATCAGACGGTCGACTCTAGCGTGCGCGTCGCCCTCTCCCGTCCCGCACGCCGCACCACCGCAAAGGCGCAGCCGTCGATGGGCGACGACGTTCTTCCGCCACCTCGGCTGCCCTCCGGCTGCTCCTACGAGGAGCCGGACACCCTAGCCAGCTTGGTCGTCTGAAGGCAGGCACCAGCGCTCCCTGTCTGTCGCTCCCTCCCCCCACCGTGGCGCCGCCCGGGCTCCTAGTGCGAGTCTATGTGTGGCGCCGTGAGAGTGTGCGTGTGTGTGGATTATGTGTGCACTAGCCACTACAATGTGGACTAGAGTTTAGACGCGCGGAATCACCTCTGAGAGTGAACGGCTCAAGACATGAGATCGACCTTCGCAGTGACTGGGGTACGGGGTGTGGAGGGTGAGTTGAACAGGGGTTGTGCGCCAAGCCCTCCTGCTCGGCTCCATCCAGGAGAAGGATATGACCTCAGGGCTGATGTGACCAAGCGCTGGTAGCGTGGTTTTACCTCACACCCATGGTCTCACAGTGTGCCGGCACTCGCCGAGCAGTGTCGCTCACACAAGCCGCAGCACAAGTGACTGAGGGCCAGTGAGGGCGAGCCCATCGCTGTCACAGCTGTGGCAGCCGCACAGTAGGCTGTGTCAACTGTGCAGAGTGTGTGAACAGCAGAGGAGCTGCTCTCCAGGCTTCTGTCGCAAAGAGCTGCATGCCACCGAAAGCGCTGTCGAGGTTCGCCGAGCGCGGCGCAGGTTGGAGGACACCGTCACCGACGAGCGCGTTGGACTTTTCACTCCGGACAAAGACGGGGACACAGCGGACGGTGCGGGGTGTGTCCCCGTCATAGCGGCGAGGCGCGGGACCGTCTGTGGCGAAGTGGGTCGCGTCCTCCGATATTGTTCAACCCAGCATCCACACCCTCTAGGGGCACATCCACCTGCTGTCGCCCGCCACCCATACCGCGCCGGTGTCCAGTCCCCGAGCCTGACCGTGTTCTTCACCTCGTAACATACAAACGAATAGAAATTCTAACGTACAGTAGAGGCAGTACTCCGACTCTTCGAGAGACATGCTCACCCTCCCCTCCCTCTCTCATGTTCATGTTCATGTCATGTTGTGAGTCATGTCACTCGGTTGGTCGGGTACCTTTTCTTTCGAAAAGGTCCACCCTCCGCATGGAGGGCTCGCCTTACGGGCACCTGACCGCCCTACGGGCAACCCGAACTCCCACACGCCAATACACGCGCGGCCGGCGCCCCTCATGCCCTTCTCCACGCACACCGCGTGAAAACTGCGCGTACGTCCCCGCGCGCACGCAAACACACGAGCAGCGCCCAGAAGCCTGTGTCATGTGCGCAAGCCCTGTGCTGGCGCCCCATGGCCGTCCCGCGCCGCCCGCACCAGCCACGCGCCCCTCGCACCACCAGAGCCAGCCGCATATCCACTCACACCGCGACGCGCGCGCCGCAGCACACCTCACCAGCACTACCTCGCCTTTTTGCGCCCTGTGCAGGCTCTGCACACTGCTTCTGGCATCTCACAAGCGGCTGTACCAGGTCGCGCCGCGAGTACGACGCAGATTCTGCACCACGCAAGGCACGCACGCACGCCCGCACCCGCGCGCGCGCGCGCGCGCGCGCTCATCTGCTCAGTCTGCTGCACAGCCTGACAGCCTGCCTGCACACACATCATACAGCACCATGTGCACGCACTGCGCTCAACGATGCAGCCCGCACCCCGCAACAACAGCCTGCCCTCCGCCTCACCACGACGTCTCGCGCACACTCCGCCAGCAGCCCAGTCAGAGACACTGCAGCGCGCGCCTCTGCACGCCTGCAGTCTCTCTGAGACCTTCTCAATCCACCCCGCCGCCGCGCCTCCCCGGGCACACACCGCAGCAGTGAACATGTGAGTCGAAGAATTGAACGACCGAGCCCGCGCCTGCTGCACGCAGCCCCGTATTCGACTGTTGGTAAGTGCGCAAAAAGAAAAACATATTCGCAGACAAAGATTCCTGCGGAGTGTTGTCCAGATACAAAATATACCGGAAAGGCTCCACACCGAAACCCCTGCCGCACTTTTTACTGTCGTCTGCCATAATGCATAAAAGAAAGAAAAAGAAAGAAAAGAAAAAGAAAGAAAAAGAAAGTGACCACTGGGTTTGTACTATTAACAACGAAGGCGCTCTCAAAAAAGAAAGAAAAAGAAAAATTGTTGGTTATATCATGTGCAGCGAGGCAGGTGCATTGCATGCGGTCTAGTGGATCGTGAAACCGGTCCCGAGTCAAGATCTTTATGGAAAGAATTCTTAAGATACAAGCCTCTCTCACATGGGCGGTGTCCAAGTACGCGAGAGGATTCGCAGTCACAAAAGGAGAAAACGGGCGGGTGCCACAGCTATATTACGCGGACGACGGCTCATTCATCACTGAGAGCACCGCGGACCTACAGGCGATATTCGACCTGAACTGGTACTTAATGAAGATGAGTGGCATGGCGGTCAAGGTCAAGGGAAAAGAAAAGACAGCGTACATGGCAGTACGATACGAGAATGGGATCGCACGAAACATAGAAGGCGCGCCAATGCGACTCCTCGACGGGACGGAAATTCCACAGATACGGGCACCACGCAGCATCAAGAGGGCGACTTCGACAGCGAGAGGACAGACGAGCAAGGGAGAAGACGACGTACAGACGGCGAGACAAACGGCGGTGGAAGCGGCGGCGGTCGAGATCTACAAATACCTGGGCACCCCGATAACCGCCCAGTGGCAGAAGGGGATGGAACCGGCGAGACAAAAAACGAGAAGGGAAGCGACGCGGCTAATGAAAATGGTGGGCGCGCTCACGCAATTAAATGCGGACGAGATGCAACGAGCGATGAACGCCGCGATGGAAGGGGTGGTCGGAGCGGCTGCAAGAGGGACCGTCATGACGATGGAGGACTGCGACGCCATCGAAGTTGCGAGGCGAGACGCGATAGAGCGACAGGGAGCAGGAACAGCATACCCGAAGGCACACCTATACGCGGCGGAGGAAGATGGTGGTGAAGGGAGCATGCACACGTATCAGGTAGCCACGGCGAGCTGGATGAGCACGATCGACAACATGCTCTCGGCACCAGAGGGACGACCCGCGGGGATGGTCGCGAGATATGCGCTGGCGAGGACGGCATGGAGACTGGGGTGCCGCGGCAAACACCCACTCGAATGGGACACGACATTCATACCCGACGAGCAACTAAATGAAGGAAACCTAATGGAGGCATACTACCTACAGCGGAATCGGGCAGGACTACGAGGCATGAGGACGTCGATGCAGATGAAAGACGGCCTCGATGATGACCTGTGGGAGATGACTGGCCAACAGGAAACAGTGCGGGGCCCACGACTATGGGAAGACAGCATGACCATGTGGAGGCGAGGCGCCCGACGGTGCACATACAAGAAGAGACTCGCGGAGGTCGGATTGGTATGGTGGAGCGACGTGACAAACGAGAAGGGCGACGGATGGATGACGTGGACTGAGGCATCGAGGGTCCATGAGTTGCGGGGCAAGACAGATAAAGAGGACTACGAACAGCTACTAGGCGAGTTAAACGGACAGCCAGAGGCGACGACCGCACAATGGTTTGCGGGGAGGCACGAGCGATGGGACGAGGCAGGGCTAGAATGGAACAGAAGTGATCAGAGAATAGCCATCCGAATTGCGGCGGAAGCGTCGACAGAACAGAGGGGAGTCCGAAATGGACAAGTAAAGGGCGAAGACAAATGGACGTACGAACGAATCGACGGGGCACGACGAACGGGGGAGACGGGAGAGGACGCGACCGAACGGTGGGAGTACCTAATTAAATGGAAGGGCGCGACAAAACGGACATGGGAGCGCCACCGGACCATCGCGGCGATGGGGGGCGCGAAGCTAGAGGCGCTCAGGGAGGCGCAAGACACAAAATTAATACCGTTCAGCACCCGCGACCGCATCGAACGAGCGGCAACGAGAGGAGAGGCCGGTATGCGAGCAATGCTAACCGCAATCGACACCTGGGCGGACACGGCGGGGGCGCAGAGAGCGCCACCCAAAAAGGGGCGGACAGCCATGGAGGTCACCGAATGGAGGGCGAACGGCACGATGCGAAAAGGCAGGGCGAGGCGGATGGAGAAAGAAGTGCCGAGAAGGCCATGGTGGAGGGGAGGGACGGGAGGACGAAAGAAGGGCGAGGAGGACGAGCGGCCCGCACAGACCGCGAGCAGACAGCGCCTGCTGGCCATTTCGAGACATTCGCCAAGAACGCTAGCTACATGGGAGGGCTTCGTGAAGGATGGATTGAAAAACATTCGAACAAAGAAGAGGCGACGGGAGGAACCGGCGGAGGATGCAGTGACGTGACACACACACACACACACACACACACACACACACACACACACACACACACACACACACACACACACACACACACACACACACACACACACACACACACACACACACACACACACACACACACACACACACACACCGCTCACCCACGCGCACTGGGCCTTGCACTTTGAATGCCGTGGGGCTCCTGTCGTCAGACGTGGAGACGCGAGGGTTGCCCCCCCTTGCCCCACCACCTCGTGTGTGTGGAGAAGTTTACCTTACCTTACCTTACCTTAACCCCCAGCGGCCAGCGCGCAGGCGGGGCCCACGGTAGCCTCGTGCAGTACGCGATACCGAGAGCTGGGGGAGAGGCGCGCCACGCCAAGGGGGACGAGTGACGGGAGGGGGAGAGTAGTGTCTTTCGCAGGGTAAAACGCATTTTTTTTTCGGTTGGTCGGGTGCGACGAACACCGCTTGCCCGCGGCGTTGCGGCCTCAGACGGCCCCCCGCCGCTCAGCCGAGTCGACGACCCAGAGGCAAAGACGGCCGAGTCGACTCGCCGCCGCCGCCTTCTCCTCGTTGACGAGGATGAAGAGGCCGGCTCAGACGGCTGAGCCAGAGGAGGGGACGCTGACGTCACAGGCGTGGCGTGCGTCCATGGCCTCTCTCGCCGCAGCAATCCTTGCGTCCAACGCAGCCACCGCAGGGGGCGGCCGAGGCGAGGCGCGAGGCGAGCGGGAGGCGGCGTCACTCTGCGTGTCCACCCACTCTGCCGCGGTGGCTGGTGAGGAGGAGAGGGCGGCTGGTGAGGAGGAGAGGGCGGCGGCGGCGGCGGCGGCAGCGGTGGCGGCGGCGGCATTGGAGGCGACAGCGGGGGAGGCGGCGGAGCGGATCGTAGTGGCGGCGGCGGCGAACGCGGCATTGCGACCCTCCATTGCGGCGGCGTGCAAGTCCTGCGGCATTGCGACGCGGATCCTGCGCGCCGGCGGCAAGTCGGGCGGGACGAGGACGGTGAGCGCGTGCATGTCCTGCGAGAGCGTGGCCGAGAAGGGCACCTCGAGCATGCTCGACAGCACCGCCTCCAGCTGCGCCGGAAGCCGCAGCGCCGTGCGGCCGCCCCACGCGAGGCCCGTCAGCGTGGCGAGGAAGAGGTCGACGTTTGTCTGGTTCCACGCCGTCAGCAGCGCGGTCTGCAGCAGCAGTGGGCTCGCGCGCATCGCGAGGCCCAAGCACACCACGGCCACGCCCACCTTGGCCGCGCAGCCGGCCCACTCGGCGCGGAACTGCGTGAGCACCGCCGGGGGCGGCGTGCGAAAGAAGGCGGGCCGCACCCACCAGTACACGTCGCCGCTGCTGTCCATGGCGCCGGTGAGCTCCGGACACGGCTCGCACCCGCGCGCAGCTCGCGGGCCCAAAAGGCGGTCAGCGCCGCAAGACGCATGTTGAGGACGGCGCTGTACGTCACGGCGAACGTGGGCGGGAGCAGCGCGGCCGCCGCCCACTCCGTCGGGTTGGAGACGCCGAGCCAGTCGAGGAGGGGGAGGAGGTGGAAGACGGTGGCGACCGCCCACCCGAGGAGCAAGTACTTTGCGTGCTTCTCCTCGGTGCCGCACCAGTAGACGACGAGGAGGCTGAGCTTGAGCGCGACGAGGCAAGCGGACGGGTACGGCGCCATCCACGCGCCCGCCACAAAGAGCAGAGTGAGCGAGACGTCCCTGCTGTGGTGGCAGCAAACGCCTACCAGCGACTTGCGTCGTAAACAAGAGAGCCGGGCGTACATGCCCCCCTTGCGGTGGCAAGCACACGCCGAAGTAGAGCTCGTTCCGCCGGCTGCGGCGGCGCAGCGCCGTATCCTCGAGCGCGCGCGCGGTGTCGTGGATGTCGTGGATCACGCCTGCACACAGCTCTCTTTGTGAGCCGTCAGACGTGTCTTGATGAGCCGCCGTTCGCGGTCGCGGAGGACGCCCGAATCAGAGGCCGATGCCAGGCCCTCGATCTTGCCCGTGCAGAGGCAAGCGCCAAAGTCAAGGCAGAGCAGCGCCGCCGCCGCGAGGCAGAGGACGGAGGGCACGTGCGACGCCACCGCCAGCACGCCGCCGCTGGTGAGCCTCGGCGCGATCGGCAGCAGCCCGAGCGCGAACGGTACCGCCGAAAGGGCTGCGCTGACCGGCCGGTCCCACACCTTCGCCGCCACCGCATCCTTTGCAAGTCGAGCCGCCGCGGTGAGCGCGATGAGCGAGAAGACCATGCTGACGAGCGCAAAGTCGCGTGCCTCGGCCGCGCCCGCCCGGCTGGTCGAGATCAGGCAGACGACGATACGGCAGACCTGGGGGCGTGTAACGAGCAAGTCGGTGGGACGTGTCTGGTCGAGAGCAGGCAGACGACGATACGGCAGACCTGGGGGCGTGTAACGAGCAAGTCGGGTGGGACGTGTCTGGTCGAGAGCAGGCAAGCGACGAAGCGGCAGACCGAGCTGCCCGCAAGGACGGCCGACGCGCCCGGAGAGAAGAGCTCGCTTGCCCGCTCCTCGCTGGAGGTGGTCGAGACGTGCAGGAAGAGCGCGAGCTGCATCACCATCCCGTCCAAGCCCGCGCGCGCCTCCGCCTCGGGGCCATCCAGCGCCGGCGGAGCAGTGGCGTCGGCGAGCGGGCCGCCGGCGTCGGAGCGCCACAGAGGCCAGTCAGACCAGCGAGGCCAGTCAGACCAGAGGGGCAAGCCGTTCGACCAGCGGTGAGCGGCGTAGGCGGCGCCGGACGATTCGCCGACAGAGTCGCCAGCGCCGTCGCCGGAGTCGCCGGCGCCGTCGCCGGAGTCGCCGGCGCCCTCGTTGCGGACCGCAGACGGGCAGTCTGGGCCGGCGCATTCCACGGCTGCTGCATCCGCCTCGACCCACACGAACGTGTCGTCGACGGTGCGGAAGGCCGCCTTCTTCTGCTCGCAGAGCGCCTCAAGCTCCGCCCTCTCCACACACCCATCGCACCGAAGGTCGTGCGAGGCGCCTCGCAGGGCCTCTGTCCCCACAGCGAGGCAGTCGAGATCCGAGGAGGCGGAGGTAGCTTTGGCGGAGTCCTCGGCGGCGGCGACGGCAGCGATGCACAACAACATATACATGCCACAGCGGGAGAGCCAAACGCGGGCTCAAAAGAATTTCCCGCCGGAGGCGGTCGCACAACACGATTCACAGACTCGTCCTTGCTCGAGGAGAGCTCGATAGACTCGAGGGGCCAGGATATGCAGCGAGGAGGGCGGAGCTGCGCCGAAAGGCGCAAGAAGCCGCGAGAGCAAGGGACCGGCAGGAGGCGGCGGCGCCGCAGAACGAAGCAGAGGAGAGCGAGCGACGCGACAGAAGAAGAAGAGACAAGGGAAAGAACGACGAGAAGGGGGCGACCGCGAGGTGGCATGAAGGTCGCAGCGAGAATCTGCGAGAGACTGCGAAGAGAGATAGGAAGAGGCGGACGCCCAAGGGTGGGCGACGGCTAGCGCATCACACGCCCCTCTCCTTAAAATCCCTGTGTGGTGGCGGCGTGCCGTCCTCCCATCCCTCCCTTGGGTTGTCCGTTTTCTTTCTTTCTTTACACGATTCACACAAAAATCCGCGACAGGCAAGGCACGGGCGACGGCTTCCTCAGAAGCCGTCGTCCTCACCGTAGCCGTCGTCGGACCCCCAATCAGGGGGACAGTCGAATCCGCGAGCACCGTGGTGCTCGTCGAAAAGACCATCCCCATCCCACTCCCCCTCATCCCAACCCCCCCCACCCGCGCGCCTACCCCGCCGATGGCCGGTGGGGCGGGAAACCCCGCCCCACCCACCATTGCGCAGCAGGGGTTCGAGGTCCTCGCTGAGCAGCAGAAGCCGCCCAGCCCGGACCTCGTCCCTCCCTCTCCCAGCACCGGTCACCAGCCCAACCCTCCACCACCACCACCTCCCCACGCCTCAAGCCCGAGCCCCCTTCGGCCCAAGCCACCACCCCCCGCCTCCTCTCCCGCACCCCCTGCCGTCGACACGAGCCGAAATGGTAGTGGTAGTTGTACTCCGCCGCGAGCACGTCAGCCATAGCGCCACGCGCCTCAGCCGAGAGCCGCCCGAAAGCCGCCACGACCGACCGCGATGGCGCCGAGGATGGGCCGCTCCAATTCCTATCCCACTCCGCGCACGCCTCGAGAACCGACGCCTCCTCCTTCGCCAGCACCTTCGCCAAAGCCCCACGCGCCGCAGGCAGCTCGGCCGCCGCCGCCGCCTCTTGAGCCTCACGCTGCATCTCGTTGAAAGCCAGCCGCGCAACCTCCTCCTCCCTCGTCTCCTCTCGCCCCAGGACACGAACCGCTCCCTCAAGGAGGATCCGCGTCCACCGCTCCTCCTGCTCCTCCTCCTGCTCCTCCTCCTCCTCCTCCTCCTCCTCGGCCGCCCCGCCCGCCGCCGAACCTGTGGCACCACTAAATAAAAAGAAAGGGACGGAGTGTCGGCCACGCCCGAGATGATCTCGAGCGGTTTACCTCCGACAGTCGCGTGAACGTGGGCTCGTCCAGGATCGAGCGGCGAGCGGGGGCAGCCGCCCCGCCCGCCCTCCGCCGGCGGCGTAGGACCCGAAGTGTCAACAGACACAGCGAGGGTTCCGATTCCCCTTCACTTGTAGTGAGCGTCGGGCTGGTGGTTCGATTGATTCGCTCTCTTGCTCGTCTCACGAGCGTCATGCGACGGCCGGTGTGGCCGTTTCCCTCGTTGTTGGTGTCGCTTCCTTCGCTGCCGCCCTTCATCTTCGCCAGCTTTTCCCGGCTCCACCGACTCCGAGGGCGTCGACGGCCCGGCCGGGGTCTCCCCGGGCGAGGGCGGCGGCAGCGTGTCTCGTCGCCCCCCCTCCCCGGGAGGTCGGGCCGGCTCTCCCTGGTCGGCGAGTCGCGCCCGCATCCGCGGCCTCTCTATCGTTCTCGGCTCGCCCTCCCCCTCCACCGGCTCCTCACCAAGCTCGGGGAGGCGCGGTCCCTCTTGTCGTAGATCACGGCGGTCCAGCCGCCGCCGCGACGGGTCTACCCCCTGTGGGTTCGCACGGCCCGACTCCACTCGCAGAGGCCGAGTCAGCTCGACTCTCACCTCCCTCGACAGTTGACTCCAGGCCTCACCCGGGGCCCTTAGGTCCCGGCCTGTCCGCCGGCTGACCCGCTGTCTCCCCACGGCACCCCCCCCCCTCGGACCATACCCTACCTGCACCATACCTGCACCATACCTGGGCCATACCTACACCATACCTGGCGGTCCAGCAAACGCGGTGTTTGGGGAGAGAAAAATATTCGGTCGTGCGACGACGACGAGGCATAGCTCCGCGCTGGTGTCCAGTCCGAGCCTGACTGTTCTTCACCTTCCTACCTACCTGCCTGTATGTATGTAGAAAGATGAACAACAGTCAGGCTCGGACTGGACACCAACGCGGTATGGGTGGACGCGGGACAGATGATGACGACACGCACGAACGACAACAAGCGCCATTCGCTCTCACCTGGCAACCCTGTCTGCACGTCTCGCGCGCGCGTGAACAGGGCTCCAGGCCCCAAATGACGTGTGAGTGTTAGAGTTGTTTGGTATTGCTAAAAATCTCTCTCTCGAACGACACACAGACACAAACAAGCTCACAAGACACACAGCCAGCTGGCTGCCACACACCCTGAGTTGGCGTACACATAACTCAAGGCCGCGCTCCCCCCCTGTCGCCCCCCCCAGCCAAGTTGCCGGAGGAACAAACAAGGGCACAACAACACAACAGACGACAGGGGCGAGCGCGTGAGGCTGGAGCAGGCTTGCTCGTCCTCTAGCAATCTCCGCCGACCGCGAGGCCGGACTAGACCGTGTGTGGGGTCATGTGAGGTGTCTCTGGTCACTCTCCTCAGGGGCTAGCCGCCAGCCGCTAGCCCTATCTCGCACTCACTGGCGGTGACAATTCTATGGGTGAGCGTATGCGAGTAGAGGCGCGTGAGCCGATTCTAGATCGCATGCCATTGGCATATAACTGGGCTTGGCGTCCGAGACCTCGATAGAGTAGCGCTGAAGGCGCTCTTTTTGATTGAAAATAGTACCCCACGTTCCCCGACGGCCTTTGCCTGACATCCACACGAGGCATACCATGCACTTTCCTCGTCCGCTCGCGCTTGCCGCGCCGCATTGCGCCCGACTATGCCGCCGCGAGCTACACGCCTAGACCCCCGCGACGCCTATTGCTCACGGGTCCCGCCGCCCCCTCACCACCCCCACCACGCGATGCGCCTTCGCTCGTCGCGCGAGCTGCTGTACCCCCCTCGCGGGCCTCGCACCGCCTGCCTACTCCCGCTCGCAGGTACCGAGGAAGCCGCGAGACGCGTCCGCTGCTGCCCATTCCCCGCCTTTGTCCCGCGCGACCGCCCTCCCTCTCTTCTGGCAAGAGAGCGACCCGCTCTCGCTTGCTGGCCAATCGCCGCCCGGCTCCAGTCCGAGCGCCGAGGACGCGAGAGAGCGTGCCGGCGGCCTCGTCTCGACGCTCACGCCGCGACGTGCTGCCCGTAGGCGCGGCTCTCCTCTCTCTGGTTCGCTCTCTCATCTCATTCAACATGCACATGCCCTTTTGAGCAGCACCATTTTTGTGCAGCGGGTACTGATTCTTTTTATCTGTGTAGGCGAGGCTCGAGGGCATGGGGCGGGTAGGCGGGGGGGCTGCGGGGCTGGGTGGGTGGTGGCGGGCGGGCTCGAGATCGCGCGACTGATCGTTCCGTGGGGAGATTCCCAGAGATTTTATCATACCTGTATACCCCATATACCCCCATATACCCCCATATACCCCATATACCCCCATAAACTCCCCAGACATCTCAATAGCAGTTTTTTACCGTCTTTCACATGGTCGCGATCCCGTAGGCGCTTGCCTTTCCTGCTACGAGCCGAGATTGACCTGAGATTGACCCCCCCGAGCAAAGTTCCCGCCTGCTAGCATCTCTGCACTGCGTCTAGAGAGTGCCACTCTGTGTCCGCAGCCGCGAGGGCCACTCGAGCGCTGGCCTGCACTCCCATCGGGGACGCCACCTTCAACCGCTTCTGGACTCTCTGCAGGAATTCATTCGATCAACATGCTCAAACTCGAGTTCGTGCCGGCCGCCGGTGACAAGCTCTTGCTCAAGCTCTCTCCTCCGCCGCCGCTTGCTGACAAGCAGGTGTGCGTTAATTTGCAGTGGCTGAGGGAGTTGGTATGCACACGCGCACCGCTGCAACGCACGCGACGCTGCGCCTTCGCTGCAAGACTATCCTCTCGCGTTCTGTGGCTGACAGGCGTCTCTGGCGGACAACACGACTGTCATCGACTCTGGTGGCGGAGGCAACGCCGTCGGCATCCCCTCCGAGCCCGTCTCGCTCAAGGATGGCATCGATACCGGCACCGGCGGCACCGGCACCGCCAGCACCGGCACCGGCAACGGCCCGCCCGAGGGCGAGCCCGGCCCGCTCAAGGACGGCATTGACGCGGGCGGCGGCAACGTCGCGGGCGAGTTGTCGCCGATAAAGTCCTTCGCGAAGGTCGGAATCGTGCCGGCTGACGACGGCCGCATCACGCTCGTCATCTCCGCGTCGGTGTCGCATTCGCTCCTCGGAGCCAAGGTGCGCGTGCGCACGCCAGGGTCGTGATCATCCCTCTCCCGTCTCCGAAAGCTTGCGCGTACTCTCCCTCGCCCACAGGCGTGCGGCGTCAAGAACGTCAACATCTCCGTGGCAAAGTCTGGCCCGGACGGCGTCCTCAAGAAGGAAACGGCCGCGGAAAAGGCGCCCGCCGCGGGCGCGGTCGACTCGGACAAGGCCAAGGCCATGTTCGCCGCCCACGGGCCGAGCCCCGCTGTTTTCTGGTCCAAGTTTACGCGCCCGACCGGGCCACCGACGGCCCCCACCGGCGCCGTCAAGGGTGCCCTCAAGAAGGACATCCCTGCGGCAGAGTCTGGCGCGGAGGTCTCCTTTGACGAGACCGGCGTCATCAAGATCGACCCGGCGCTCAAGCCGGCCACCAAGGTCGCCACGGCCGTCAAGCCGGCGGAGGCCGGCGGCGCGCCGCTGCCGTCGTTCAAGGAGTTTCCGGAGGAGGAGCCCGCCCCGGCGGCGAGCGCCTGGCATTCTGCGCGCCGGCGTCTGCCGACCCACTCGCTGTGACCCCATCCCGCGTTCGACGCGTAGGGCGACGCCGACTGGAACGATTCGACCAAGGAGTTTCCAGAGGAGACGGCCGCCCCGGCGGTGAGCACCTCCCAGCACCCTTCTGTGCACACGCGGGTATTGCGGGGACACGCGAGTCCTTTAGGCGGGCACTTACATTGACCCTGTGACCTCTCATCTGCCGCACGTCACGCGCGCAGGGCATCGACGAGTGGAAGACCCCCTCCCCGCTCCGCAAGATCGAGCGCAAGGGCGAGCCCAACCTGATCGACCGCTCCAAGAAGACCACCAAGAACCTCACCCCGATCGGCCGCGTCGACTCCAACGGGTTCGCGGCCCTGCTCGGAACGGACCTCGACGAGGAAGACCTCGCTGACGTCGGCTCCGGCAACGCGTTCGACGACGAGGAAGACCTCGCTGGCGTCGGCTCCGGTGACGCGTCTGTCGGCGACGCCCCGCCGACGTCGACCACAAACTCGGTGCTCGCCGCCTGCATATGCGCGGGGCCTCCTTTCCCTGCTCGCCCCTCGCCGCTCACAGCCAGTCTCGCGCCCCTGTTCAGGGCGCGACGGCCAACCCCAAGACGAACACGATTACCACGCAGAAGGGCTCCGTCTCCGCCTTCGGCTGGCTCTCGTGGCCCAAGCTCTGCTGGCACAACGTGCTCTGCACCGTCTTCATCTGCCTCATCGCGGCGAGTGCGAGCGGCGTGGCGTTCGCCTACTTCTCGCACGTCGGCTCTGACAGCCTTCTCCCTTCGATTGTCGTGCCCGACGCGACGGCGCTCCCGACTGAGCGTGGGCCGTTGTTTGCTCCATTCAACCCCACGCCGGTCGTACCCGAGCCGCCGGACGTGGTTGAAGACCCCGCCTGGCTCATCGCCACCTCCGGCTTCTGCTCGAACCTCAACGTTGTCATGAACGAGCGCGACGTCAAGGGCAAAATGACGGCTGGCGACAGGGACGGGCACTTTGTCGCGGACATCTCGTTCAACTACTACCCGCAGACGGCGATCAAGTTCACTGACACTCCGTACCACATGGCGAATACCATCGAGGGCGACCAGACTGAGGCGGACGCCCTGGTGTCACCCGCGTGGGACCACAAGAACATCGCGCTGCTTGAGCCAACATCCTCGTGCAGCGCCGACGAGGAGGGCCGGAGCAACCAATCGTGGGCCATCTCCGTCTTCAAGGTGGAGGAGCACCGCGCCTGCAACGATGGTGAGACGGCGTGGTCTGGCCATCCATGCGTGCACTACACCGGCTACGTCTCGGCGGAGTCGCCCAACTTTGTCAATGTCAACACGGAGCGATTCGTGTGCCAGCTGTTTGTCGACTCGGATGGGAGCTCCCCTCCACCCAAAGTGTCGTCGGGCCCGACGACGACTTCTGAAGATACTTGCGCACCAGACACGAGCGCCGCAGACACCAACACGATTTTGAAACATTCGAGCGACATCATGCAGAAGCGCGAGATGCTCACCATCGACCAATTCCTTCGCGGATACACCTCCTCGAACGAAGATCTGCTCCACATCTCTGCCTACCAGTTCCAGCTTGGTGAGGACATCGACACGGGGGAAGGCGTCGTGGTCACCACGGAACCGACTGCCAATCTCTTTGATCGCGACAGAGTCGCCTCACTCCTCGGTGTGAGCACGTCATCCGCCTACAGTTCGACAAAGACGATTTCAGGCGACTCCATCGCAGAGTTCTCGAGCCAGTTCGCCGCTTCTGCTTCCGTCGGAGGATCAGCCTGGGGCGTGTCCGCGTCAGCATCAGCGTCATTCAGCTCGTCGTCCAGCGGCTCGAGCAAGATGTCTTACGCTCAGCTTCGCTCCATGCAGGTTGTTGGCGTGGTTACCGTGCACCCTGGCGGGGATCAGAGAGCCTACGACGCGGCTCTAGCTGCTAACACCCGCACCGAGCTTGAGGCAGTCCTCGATTCGACGAAGGCAGAGGAGTTCGTGAAGAAGTACGGCTTGTACTTTATCACGTCTGCAACCTACGGCGGGCTCTTCACCATGACCAAGTCTGCGGAGACCACTTCAGCGACCTCGGCAGAGTCATTGTCGGCGGAGCTGTCGTTCTCATACGGGGTGGCGTCAGGTTCCGCCACGGCGTCGGATGACACAAGCAATTCTGACGAAAGCTCGAGCTCACAAGCGAAAGTGAAATGCTACGGCGGGGAGCTGGGGAAATGCTCCCTTGAAAATTACAGTGACTGGGCGGCAAGTGTGGTCGATCACCCTGACGTTGTGGACTACACGATCACACCTATCTACAAACTGATTGATCCCGGCGACACAAAGCGTCAGCTGCTTAAAGCAGCCTTCCACAGTGTGGAGGTGAAGCTTCTGGGCGGAATGCAAGCGCAATGGATCAAGGAAGATCGGGTGGCGTCTGCAAGCACAGTTGATCTGCAGACCGTTGTCATCAAGAGCGTGAGCAGCAACAGGTTCTGCCGGCTCAACCGCAACGAAATTAGACAAATTGAGCGGCCTCGCGTTTGGAAGAAAATTATTGCGGACTACACCATAATATGCGACGGGAGCGCAAAGTACACCGGAAAGTACCTCCAGGATCGTTTCAGCAACCAGGAGACGCGCACCTCGTTCCTCGCGTTTGTCTTCTCCCTCGTGCCGAGCGAGAGAAGGGGGGAATTCACCTTGCAGGCGTGGGCGCTGAACGACCGCAGCACGTACGCTGACGGAACTACGCTCCCCAACCAGGAATTTGCCATACCCCACAAGTGCGGGATGGCGGACTCGTCGAGCGAAATCGTCTGCTCGCCCTCCGCGGACTCGTCGGGCAACCTTGTCGTCGAGGACATAACTGTCAAAATTCCTCGCCCGATCACAGAAGCCACGGCGTTTCAAATCGAAAGCCAGGGAGCGGGGTTGTACACGCTCACTGCAGTCCGGGCGCAAGACTCTGCCTTCGGCGTCAGCGACCCGGGCCACCTTTGCGGAACAAACAGCAACTCGAGCATTGGATGCCCGGCTTTCGTGTCCACCAAGGAGGAGGCGGCCGGCTTCAACGCGCAATTTGTTATCGAGGTGCTAGGGCCCGGCCAAACTTTCGGGCGTGTCCAAAACACGAGACTTTACGTGGGCGATGTCATGCGTGCTGGCGGCCCTCCGTTGGTGATGGAAGGGAACAACAACCTCTTTTTCGTCGTGCTACCAGGGGGCGACCTTGTTTTTACGTCGTTGTCCACCGTGTCGTCCGCGACATTCGCAGTGCGTTGGGACACAGCACCGGGCACGGCCACTGTAGAACTGTCCCAAGATGGAGCTGTGTTGTTCAAGGACGACAAGGGGAACGTCAAATACTACCTACCCTCGCTGGGTACATGCAACGAGGGTCCGAGCTATATGGCAATTTCAGAATTTGGTCAGCTTCAGGGTTTTTTGTCAGTTTTTTGCAGCGATGTCACCAATGAGAAAGCCTGTCCAGGTGATTTGGACGCACTAAGCCGTTGCATCCTTGGCGGGGTGTGGAGCAAGGACTCTGTGAAACCCTGTCCCAGCGAAGGCTCATGCCCACCATGACAGAAACGGACAGGAGAACCGGAAATGGGGGGCAAGAAACAATAGCGAACGACCCTGGTGAGCCAAACACTAGACCGGTGAAAGTCCGGCACAAGCGATGCGGCATACCGCGACCGCATAGTCATGCACCTGATGACGGCCGCCGGCGCCTCGGCGCCGGCCGACGCCGTGTTCAGGTTCACGGCTGGCGACGCGATGCAGACCGAGGACGACGACGAGGACGCTGACCGCTCCGAGGATTATTCCGACGACGGGAGGGCGTCCGACTTGTAGCTGGCCTCACCCATATCTTACCCTCTGCCCCCCCCTCCTGCTACCCCCCAGGCTAGATGGTCACAGATAGCCCCACACAGCCCCTTACCCCTTCACCCTCGCCTCGCTGGTGTTTCTGAACACGTAGACGACCACGCTGTGGGGGTTGTGTTATAGGAGTAGGAGTGGGGTGCAGGTTGCTCACCCACGGCACCGGGCCGGTGCTTGCACTTTGAATGCCGTGGGGCTCCTGCCCGTGTCCCGGGCGTGGAGATGCGAGGGTCGCCCCCCCTTGCCCCACCACTTTGTGTGTGTGGAGCCATTCAGGCAGGTAGGTAGCAAGCTGACTCCCTCTCGGCGTCGGCCTGGACACCAGCGCGGAGCTATGCCTCGTGCTGCCGTCAAGTCGGAATCGACTCGCGATCTTTGGCCCTCCAGAGGTACATACCCGGAGCCCCCCTCCAACCCACCCGCGCTAGGTCTCGGGCGGCGAAGGGGTCACACCCGACGACCTCGGGAACTAGCCGGGGCAGTCGGAGAAAGAAGGGGCAACTCCGTGCACTGACGGTCGGCCACCAGAAAACACGCCTGCGTGGATCGCGTCACACCAATCCTCGCTACCCAACGCGGCGAAAGGATATCCACCTCGAGAACCTCGACAACATACGGTACCCGGGTCATCTGGTAGTCAACCAAAGTCATCATCATCTCCACCCCCAACGGAATGAATAATCTAGATAGCGGCGTTCTGCAACAGCACCGCCTCCCCCCCCGGGGGCGAAGTGGAGGTTGACATGCTCCCACGGTGCCGACGCGGCGCCGGAGTGGCCGGCGCTGCTCGCCGCGACCACGACGGCTACTCTGATGCTCCGGGCCGACCCGTCCTACCCGACGGTGGCACTCTTCCACGTCTCGCTCACGCTGAGAAAAATTCTGAAACGGCGTTTGCTGGCCTGGGTTGAAACTGAGTCGCGGCGGCGGCCAGCAAACGCGTCCGAGGCGTCCGACGACAAGCTGCGGGCAGAGGAGCCGCGGCGGCCCACCACCCTGCGGCCCACCACCCCGCGTCCATGCTGCAGCGCTTGCTGTGGAGGGACGACGGCCGAGGATTGGCGGTGTCTGTCTGGCTACTGCGGGAGGAAGGCGGCGCAACTTCGGAGAGGTGGTGCCGGCAGTGGGTGAGGACGGCGTCCTGCCGCTTCGGAGGCGGCTGCCGGCACGCGCACGTGCTGACCCTCGCCAGCCACGGGCTCTCCCCGGGCCGCGGCGCGGCGATGCCGCCGCTGGAGCTATCACCCGACCCTGCAAGCCTCTCCGCCGACGAGCTGCGCCGCGTCGCCTTTATTGTTGGGCGCGGCGCGGTCGCCTTTGACTACGAGGATCCGCACGCGGCAAAGAGCTTCCTCGAGGCCGACGCCGCCACCCAGCTCGCGGCGGAGGAGGCCGCTGCCAGCCGCTGCGGAGAAGACGCCGCTCCCGCTGCCGCCGCCAACAGCCGGCCGTACGATGAATTCCCCCAGCTGCCCGACGAGCTGTGGACGGCTATTCTCGAACGGGTAGACGACGTGGAGGCGCTGCGTGCCGCGGCGAGCACGAACGCGCACCTCTCCGCCGCCGCCGCCAACCTCTGGGTCGCCATGGAGGCACGCTTGCTCTGCGGCGGCGGCGGTGGCGGCGGCGGCGGCGGTGGCAGGGCGGGCGAGGGTGGAGCTCCACGCGAGGGCGGCGAGGGCGGGATGGGGCTCAGGAATGGCGGCGGAGGCGCTGGTGCAGTCGGCCTCTCCGCGCTCGCCAACCAGCCAGGCGGTGGCAGCGGCGAGCGGCTGGCCGCGGTGCGTCAGGCGGCGGCGGCGGCGACTCCGCGGCTGAGGACGGCGCCTCTCCACGGGCTGTGCGCGTGAACAGGCGGCGCGCGGGAGGTGCTTTGCGAGCGAGGCGGCCCTCGGCCGCTGGCGGCGGGCGACGGCGGCGCCTCCGCTCACTCTCGACCCCCCAGGCTAGATGGAGTAGTCAGATGTAGATTCTGCCCCACACAGCCCCTTACCCCTTCACCCTCGCCTCGCTGCTTGGTGTTTCTGAACACGTAGTCGTCCACGCTGTGGGGTTGTGTGTGGGTCCTGTGTCTGGGAGGGAGGGAGTGGGGTGCAGGTTGCTCACCCACGGCACCGGGCCGGTGCTTGCACTTTGAATGCCGTGGGGCTCCTGCCCGTGTCCGGGCGTGGAGATGCGAGGGTCGCCCCCCCCTTGCCCCACCACTTTGTGTGTGTGGAGAAGTTTACCTTACCTTACCTTACACGATAGACTTCCGAGATTACCCGAGACGGCCCCGTAAGGTAAGGTAAGGTAGATTTCTCCACACACACAAAGTGGTGGGGCAAGGGGGGGCGACCCTCGCATCTCCGCACGCCCGGGACACGGGCAGGAGCCCCACGGCATTCAAAGTGCAAGACCCGAGATTACTCGAGACGTATACCCGGATTACTCAAGAGCGAGCGCGAGCGAGTGCGAGTGAGAGAGAGAGAGAGACTCACAAAAGACAAAACTCTGAGAGATAGTGAGAGACAGAGACAGAGACAGGGAGCTCAGTACGCACGTCACAACGACCTTAGTGCAGAGGCCTAGGAGGCGTGGCACATCCGTGCGCAGCAGCCTCGGAGGCGCGGTCCACTCCACTGACAGTGACACTCCACACTCCGAAGAACCCGCTTGATCAGAGCGCGTCCGGGTGCCGCAGCAGCACGCTGCAGCAGAGCGCGTAGTGCGCCGCCACTCCGACGAGCACGCAGAGGTGCCACAGCTCGTGGAAGCTGAAGACGGGCGGCCAGAGCCGCGGCGAGGCGGTGGCGTAGCACTGCGACCCGACGAGGTACGAGGTTGCGCCCATCACCCCCAGGCCCTGCTCGAGCGGCGTGAACTGCGAGTAGACGCTGCGGTACCTGCGCGGGAGGGAGGGGGCGGGCCGGGCGGTGAAGGGGAGCGGGGCGGGCGGGGACGGGGGACGGGAGGTAGAACGGGAGGCGGCGCACCAGAGAGTCGACGTGGTGACGGGCACGAGCTGAACGAGGCCCATGGCGCAGTACACGGCGGTGCGTAGGTGGCGGCCTAAAGGGGCGTGGCTCTTCCAGGTGGGAAACCCGTCCTCGATCAGCGCAGTACGCGGCGGCGCGGCGTGGAGGCCGAGCTCTACTGGCGAGAAGACGAGCAGGCAGCCCGCCGCCGCACAGCCCGCCATGATCTGGACGACGAGCCAGGCGACGGGCGGCGGCAGCAGCGTGACGTAAAGCGGCGAACCAGCAAAGGCGATCTGCAGGTAGATCCCGCACAGGTCGAGATTCCCCGCAAACGTCTCGGCGGCCTCGCTCCTCCACGGGAAACGGTGGTAACAACCACTCGCGCCAAGCATCGCAGTGGCGCCAAAGCAAGCGAGCGCGGCGGCGGCCGCCGTCTCAGTAGTGGGGCAGAGGCTGATCAGGTAGCCGCTCCAGATCGGCGATGCCAGCGCCGGCAGTAGGTGCAGCCAACCGCGGAGCAGAGGCCGAGGCCGGCCGTGGCAGTAGAAGGGCGTGCCGTGCAGTCCGTCCACGTTGAGCCAGCGGTCCTCAGACGTTGCCACGGCCTCTCGACGCTGCCACGACGCGAGCCTCTCTCTCGCTATGGTCTGACGCAGACGCGGGGTTGTTGACATGAGGCGAGGTTGCCAGCGGCGGGTTGGATGTGTATCCGGGCGGCGATCGTCGGCGGCGCTGGCGGCGTATCGCTGGCGGCGTATCGCTGGCTGCGTATCGCTGGCGGCGTATCGCTGGCCGCGTATCGCTGGCGGCGTATCGCTGGCGGCGTATCGCTGGCGGCGTATCGCTGGCGGCTAAGATAAAAAATAACGTGCGGGTCCTCAGCGGAGCTGGGAATAGGACCGCCGCGAGCGGCGTGGCGTGGAGCGGTTGTGCATCCCTCCGGGGGCCCCTCTGCGCCGGGGAGGCGATGTTGGAGCTAGGACGCAAGCGTCCGTCGCCTTTTTCAAACTCGGGGCCCACTCCGCTACGCTCCGACCCGAATTTGGAGGGCCTAAAAGTTTAAGGTATTGCTGCGCAAAAGGGGAAGACACTCCACGCACAAAGTACATGCATACTTCCTCTTAGGCGGACCCTCCCGATGCCAGGACGCATCTAGTGCTAGTGTCGCTTTAGGAAATGCGGCGGCGAATGGCAAAGCACATAAAGAAAGTCGGGGTCGCAGAGAGCGTCGCGCAGCAGTTGAGCATGCTCGTGCGTTGTTTAGGACGCCACGCCAATTATCTGCGCGCCCATCTGTTGCCTGGCATCCCCTGCGAATTCGTCGCTCGTGATCAGCTCCGCTGCCGCTCGTAGCAACCAGTGCCGTGTCGAGATGAAGCTCCGCGACGACGCCCGTGGACTGCACGCGCAGGGAGAGGCGCACGAGCTCCCGCACGGCAAGCGACTTCTCGGCATGCGCCGCCTGACGCCTGTCGGCATCCCATTCTTGCAAGCAAGCCATTTCTACCGACCGCGTATTTGGTCGACGGGACGGACGTTTTGGTACGTTTTGGCACCAGCTGAAGGCTTGCGTCCGCAAAAGCCCGTTGCCAACCCCCTTTTTGCCGGAGTCTCGCGAATCAATTGGCCTCCGCTCGGGTGTGAACATATTCGCTGCGGTCAAAACAACTCTGAGGTCTCGGCGGATACACGCCGGCCAGGAGCGGGAGCGCCAGAGAGAACACAGAAGGCATGACAAGCAAAGGATCTCTCTAACGCCGCGGTCAAAAGAGACCGACGGACCTTGAATTTCGGCGGCGCCGAAATTCACACAAGACTGTGAACACACCCACAGGACGCCGAGAACAAGACAATAGGAAGGGAGTGTACTCAGGCAGTCAGGGACGGATGAGTCAGAACATACTAAGAGCACCTAAAGGAGCAAGGCATAGCTGTGAAGTGGTCTCTCCACTGACAGACCCCCTCGTGCATTGGCCTGAGGTGCCCATCCGATACTCGGGGGAGGCAGCGGCAGGTCATAGTGCAAACAAAGGAGAGATGCACTGCCTCGCGTTATAGTCCTGGTAAGTACGGTCTGTAGGCTCCTCGGAGGCGGAGCAAGCCTCGGCATGTTACATGAAGCGCCCTTGCCAAAGGAACGCAACACTGGGAGTGAGGAGCACGCCCAGCCCTTGTCTCTTGTGGCATCGTAAAGACCCAAAATTTAGGAACCTCGGCTCGAAATCGATAGAAAGAAATCCATATCGTTGGACAGGGGTACAACGAAATCGAGCGGCTGGGAATCTGGATGCCAAAGGTGCAGCGGAAAGAGATTACATCTTTTTCCAGAGCGTCCCATTGATACGCTCGTAGTGCCCGTTGATCGGGAAGGTGAGGTCGTTGTCGAACGAGTCGGGCGGGTAGTGAGGTAGCCCGATGCAGTTTCGGTACGGTGCCCCACCCTCCACCATCGTCCGGTTGACGAGGCGGGTCAGCTTCGACGGTGGCGCATGCGCTGAGGCCAGGCAAAGCGCAATTGACCGTAAGTCGTCGACCCGTTGGCAAGACATATCGATGTCGTGGAGGGGCGGCCGGGCGATGTTCTCCTGCATCCACAGCTTGGGAGGATACCATTGCGTGACGCGGGTGATCAGGTTGCCGAAGTACACGCGCCCGTACTCGTCCCGGAGGCAAATCCAAGGTGCCAAGCGGACGTGTCCTGTCCGTCCGTGGTACAGGAGGACGCAGTCGTTGGCATCGACATTGTGTGCAAACCAACCAGTGTTGAACGGCGCACAGATGGACGCGTTGGCAGGAAGAGGCGGTGGCAGGTCGCACATAGAGACTGATTGCGAGAAGTCGGCCTGGTCGTACACGAAGGAGGAGCTTGATCCCTCTGGGGCGAACCAGCTGCGCTCACCAGTCTCCGTGTCGTAGTAGCAGAAGTAGCCACCCGACGCCACTCTGAGTACCCATGAGCTACTCGGCGGGGGAAAGGTTGGCGCGGCCAGAGCGCCATCTCGGTCGAACCCGTTGCCAGATGCCTCTGGAGGCATTCCACAGCTCGCTGTTTGTCCCACGGGTCCGCGTAGGGTTGTCTTCCAACATTGCCAGCGTTGCGGAGGGCGAGAGCTGCTTTGCGGCGAAGCCTGTACACGAACGAGAGCACGATCCATATGTAGACGGGGACGGCGGCGAGGACGTTGCTGGCGGTGCGCTCTTCAGCCGTCAAGCTGAGTCGGGCGCTGCGCCGAGTTCGCGCCCCCTCGACGTCCGGCAGCATGATGAACGCTGCTCCTGCAACAAACGGCACCAGATCTTGCCGAGGGACGCCCAGGGCCCAAGCAAGGTACACGAAGGAGAGGGCCCAAACGATAGAGCCAGAAGTGACCTGGGACCCCTCAGGATCGGCGGCAGAAACCTGAGCCCCCTCGTTGGTGTGCAACAGCCCGCATGTTGCAGTTGGTAAGAGAAGAAGTAGCACTTGCCAACGAACGCCCAGCAGCCAAGTCAGCCAGATGATGCAGAGGGCTCGAATGGTAGCGGTAAGTCTGGAAGAGTCTTCCATGACCGTCTCGATCTCGGGCTCCTCTATGGGCAGCCTTCGGTATCGCCCCGACCCCCGTCCCGTGCGAGCCCATGTGCGACTGGTCGACGCACGACTTCAAGCTCGTGGGCAAGGAGGTGGCATGCGTCGCGCGCGACCCGGACGCCGACGAATATCTCTTTTACACCATGGAGGTCGGCAAGTGCACGGTGAAGAGCGGCAACACGACGCACGCGGCTCTGACATCGACGTGATCAACGGCATCTCGTTCGCCAACGCGCCGTACGAAAAAGTGCTGGTGCCCTCCGAGAAGGCGTTGCTCTCCGACATGAGCCAGAGTTTGCCGACAAGCCCGTGGTCACCGGCAAGCCCGTGACAAGCCCGGTCACCGCACACAGCCTAGTGCTCACGGGCGTGGCCTGCTTGTGCTTCCTGACCGGCTGGCTCGCCGCCCGCCGCACCTACCGCACCTAGTGCCTAGACCGCGATACTTGTTATTGTTCCAAAAAACTAAGGTACCTTTGTCCTTTTTGAGTAAACATGTATTTTTCCTCCGAACTTCCGAAGTTGAAGATTGCAGTATGCTTTCATATCTGCACACTGATCACTGTATCGTGTTGGTATGTTCCATCATACGAGTATTTAGGACGGGGGACGCGACACCCTTGAAAGTAGTGGTTTCGTCGTGTGGACGGTGTGGGGCCTAACAAAAAAAGAATTTTACAACGCCAAGGTCAAGAAAAAGATATGTCGAAGACCAGCAGCTGTGAGGTCTTGGCGACATGAACTCCGCTGGCATCAACCACGAGCAGCTACGCACCGCGTGGCCGGTCTACTCTGCCTTCTCTGGCTCTCTCGAGCCGGTCGACCCCGCGGGCATGGAGGTGCTCCGCTCCGTCTATGTGGCCAGCTGGCTCGCTGACGCCGCGATGCTCGTGGAGGCGGACGACTCCGGCCGCGATCTCACATTTCGAGGCTCCGCCGTGAGCCACATCGTGCTTGCTCCGCCGCTGGCGCCGCACCAGCTCCTCGCGCTCATTGCTGCGGCGTGGAGCGCCGACCGTTGGTACTCGCTGGTCGAGAGCGATGGTGTGCCGACGCCGCCCAGCTCGCTCCTCCGGCTTCGCGCCGGCCAGCCGCTGGCGACGCTGCGCGACGCGATAGAGTCCTCCATCGCGCGGCTGGGCGGGCAGGCCTTTGTCCGCATGGACCATGCTTCGAGCAAGACGGTCGTGCCGTGCTCCAGCTACGACGCGGTCGAGGCGAACCTGCGGTGCAGCGAGCGAACGGCGGCGCGGCTTCGCGGAATCGAGGTCGGAGCGGCAGCGGACGGGCCAGCGGAGGGGTACGTGATGCTGCGTCGCTGGGTCGACGACCTGCAGCAGACGCACCTCGAGGCGCGGGTGTTTGTCCATGCGGGCGTTGCGCGCGGGGTCAGCCTGACGGTGCGCCAGCACAGCCGGCTCGGCGAAGCGGAGGAGCGCGCGTGCATCGCTTGCCTCGCCTCGCTCAAGCGAGCGTTGCGAGCCTTTGCCAAACGCGTCATTCTTGCGACCGAGTACCGCGACTGCGTCCTCGACGTGGCGGTGCCGATCGCGGCACTCGACGCGGCGCTCCACGCAGCGAATCGGCCGTCCGGCATGCCCTCGGCGGAGGCGGAGCTGCTGGCAGGCTTGTGGCTCGTGGAATGCAACACGCCCGTCTACCTGCTCGCCACCTCGGGCTGCTTCGACCTGTCCAATGAGGCGGATAGGGAGATCCTGTGCGGCGACGCCGTCGACGCAGAGGTTGTCCTGCCGGTGCTCCTCGCGGAGTTTGAGTGGAGGACGTGGAGGATCGAGCTTAGGCAGTGAGGGGTGAGCGATACGTAAGGGGTAAGGTACAACAAAGGTAAACTCCGTTCTCCACAGACCACACGCACACCACACACACACACACACACTCGAGCACACACAGCTGAGTCGCAGTCGGTGGAGAGGAGTGTGAGAGTGATATGAACGTGTGACACAGCGTGTCAGCTGTCAGCGCGGGGACGGACGGACGCGACTCATTCTAATGACTAATCAAAGTAATCGCCAAAGGAAAGCGCGCCAGACCCTGCCTCGCTATCGAATCTCCATGAATGAATGGTTGGGTAGTAGGGCTAGAGGGTCGCTCTACACTTAGCCTCTGCAGCGAGCGAGCGCTCAACTTAGCCCCCGCACCGAGCCGGGCTCAGACTTAGACGCTGTATGGTCGGGGGCCATGAACTTAGACGACATAAGGCCACTCCGGGCAAAACCCGGGTATACCTGAAAAGCCTCCAGGTTTACCCGAAATACCTGGACGCGTCCGACCAACGTATGCCGCGCACGACGCCATATCGCCTTCTCCCAGGGCCAGTGCGCTACTCACGGCGCGCAACGCCTGCTCAAGTACGCGCACCGTACCATGTGCTGCCGCTATGCGTGCCTTAAGGCGGCTGCGGCGAAGCGGCGGGCGCGGCATGCCGATGGCAGTGCGGACGATGCGGTTGCGATGTGTTCTGCTTCAAGATCGTGGCGGTGCTTGGCATGCACTTCTGCGATCCCAATCAGCTCATCGCAACGAAGCAGCGCAACAAGCTGGCTGCTGCCAACAAGGCCCTATGCTACCTCACGCGCGGATCGTTCAAAGAGGACCAGCACACACAGGCTTCACGCCTTCACCGTCACACGTTTGATTAAGCTTGAGGAGCTTCGTGTCATGTGAGAACTGTTTGGCTAGACGTCGCTCAAGAATGAAGGAGCAGCAACGAAAGTCGGAAGAGGAGGATGCTGAGGCGGCGATTGCTAAGCATGAAGAGGATCGATAGCCCGCCGCAGGCGAAGAAAATTTGGGGGCTGCGCCGTATCGTTGATCACGGTGGAGGAGCCTCCTGGCCCCAGGCCGTGCCACGGCCGACTTAGCCGATGTAAGAGGCTCCCGCTGATCTTAGACCGCGCAAGCACTCCAGCGTGGCTAGCCACACTTAGACCCGTTCAGCCTCGAGGCTCAGAACTTAGACTACTACCCAACCAGTCATGAATGTACTGCACCTAGCGTGCCAGCTACCGTTCCTCTTGCGGTGCTTCTGCAGCTGGTCGTCGTACTTCTGCAGGTTGGGCCGCGTCGCCTCCCACACACCCAGGTACTCGGGGCGCTTTGCGCGTCGTACTTCTGGCGCTCCCTCCCACAGCTGCCGCCTCGCCAGCGGCAGCTGCAGCCACGCGGCTGTTGGCCAGCCAACGGGGCACTTGACGTCGTCGATGCGGATGCTAGGCCAGGCGTGCTCACAGCGCCACCACAGCTTGCGCACCGGGCGGGGCTTGTTGGCGGGCCACGCCGCCAGTTCGGCCTCGAGCCGGGCGATGCGGAGCGTGGCGCCTCGCGCCGCACTTCTTATTCTCGCACTCGAAGAGAAGGTGCGGAAGACGTACTGACGCGCCAGCACCGAGGCGAGCCGCTGGACCACCTCGGGCCTGGGCCAGACCTCGCCCCAGTTCACGGTAGAACCCAGGATTTTTTCTGTCACCCAGCGCGTTTTTGATCTCATCGTGTGTCAGCACTCACCTCCGAAGATCAAAGAGGGCCGCTTGAGGGACTCCATGTCTCAGCGCAAGGCGAGGATCGCCGTGCTCGGCGCCGGCTGGTGGAGCCAGGGCTGGCACCTGCCGCACCTCTCGCGCCACTCCGAGGCTGAGATCGTGGCGATCGTCGAGCCAAACCCGCACCCGCGCTCGGCGATCAACGAGCTAGAGAGCACCGCAGCGCTCGGAGAGCGTTACGGCTGCCCCGTCTTCAGCTCGCTCGCCGACGCGCTCGCGTCTCCGCTCCGGCTGGATGGCTTGCTCGTCTGCACGTCGCACGCTTCTCACTTTGAGCTCGGAATCGCCGGGCTGCGGGCGGGCCTGCACGTGCTCATGGAGAAGCCGATGACGACCGACCCCGAGGAGGCGCTGGGCCTGGCGGCGGCGGCGGCGGCGGCCGAGCGCGACCAGGGCCTCGCCTTCCTGATCAACAACACGGCAAACTACCGCGCGCAGAGCCGGGCGGCGGCGGCGCTGGTCCGGGAGCGGCGGCGGGTCGGGCGGGTGCAGCACGTCCAGTGCTGCATGCACAGCGCGCTGCTGTGGCTCTTCGACGACCCGAGCAACGAGGGGTGGACGCGCAGCACGGGCAGAATGAGCGGCAACGGCTTCGGGTGGGGCCAGCTCTCTCACCTGCTCGCCTTTGTCTTTCACGTCGGCGGCCTCTGCCCTACGCGCAAAGCCTGACGAGCCTCTCTGTCGAGAGGAGGGGCACGTCCGTGACACGTCCGAGGCACGTCCCGTAGGCACGCCTTTGCGCACACGACCCTCTCCGAGAGGAGCGGCGCCGACCTTTCCGTCGCCGCCGTCATCACCTGCAGCAACGGCGCCTCGATCGCCCTCTCGGGCTCCGCGGCCTAGAAGCAGCCAGTCAGTGCTACACACCTCGTAGCACCAAGGACGGGCCCACACACGCACACACACACGCTGCACACGATTGGCTCGGGGAGCCGACACGAGGCGCGCTGTCACCGGCTATAGCACCGGGTCCGGACTGCTGGACGCACAGCGGCCTAGACGCGGAAGATCTCCCCACATCTCCGCATATCTCCCCATATCTCGTGCCCCAGAAGCGGAAGACGCGCGCTTGTGCTCCAACTAGCGCTCGAGAGGACACGGACTCAGCTGTCTTCGGCCGTGCTCCGCCGTATTCCGCTGCACTCGCTGAGCGGTCTATCTCCCCATATCTCCCCATATCTCCCCATATCTCCGCTGTATTCCGCTGCTCTCACTGAGCGGTCGTACCCCTCGTAGTCGCACAGTGCTCTGAGTCCCTCTGCTCAAACCGCATTCCCGCCCCGATGCTGGTGCGTTCATGTAGGTTCGGCCGCCGTGCCGGGCAACGCGCACGAGGCGGCGGGTGGCCAGCTGGGGAAGTACGTGTCGGCGCGCTTCTTCGGCGATGAGGCGCCGCCCGATACCGCACCACCCTCCGGACTGAACCCACATTGGATTCGAGACTCTGGAGGTATGGTACGCAGGCCGTCCTTATACCGCACCACCCTCAGCACTGAACCCACATTGGATTCGAGACTCTGGAGGTGTGGTACCAGGGGATGGCGGTGTACGAGGGGTACGACCAGCAGCCAGACTCGGGCCGGCTGCAGCTCTCGGGCCCTAGAAGCGGAAGATCTCCCCATATCTCCCCGTATCTCCCCATATCTCGTCGCCCTAGAAGCGGAAGACGCGCTCTTGTGCTCCAACTAGCGCTCGAGAGGACACGGACTCAGCTGTATTCAGCCGTGCTCAGCCGTACACACGTTGGCTCGCAGCTCCTCGTGTTCACGCGGTGCTCTGAATACACTGCACACCGCCGTACTCCCGCCCTCACGTTGGCGTATTCTTTCACCTCGCTCGCTACTACCGCACCACCCACAGGACTACACCCACACTGGATTCGATACCCTAGAGGTATGGTACACGTAGGCTCTCGAGGAGGGCGGGCGGCCTCGACGCGGACGACGAGGCGGCTGGCTCGGCTCGGCGGGTTTAGGCGCTGTGAGCGTGGACGGCGTCTCTTCACGCCTCCAGCTGTGAACAGGCGGCCCTCGCCTCGGCGGCAAGCTTCGCCTTTGAGAACTACGACCAGGCGGGCGCCGATACGTAAAGAAACCAGACGCGTCTTCCTACCAGGGGAGGAGTACACAGGAGCAAGTCCTTGCCCATGCGGTCTTTGTGCAGCGTTCTTTGTGGGGGGTGGTCGGCGACTAGCCGGGGTCGTCCTCCCGACGGGGGACTAGCACTGGCCGTCGTCCACGTTGTCCCTCGGGTTCATGCTAGGCGGGAAACACACACACACACATACACCACACACACATACACCACACACACACACACACACACACACACACACACACACACACACACACACACACACACACACACACACACACACACACACACACACACACACACACACACACTCACACGCGCGCGCACCCCACGCGCACCGGGCCTTGCACTTTGAATGCCGTGGGGCTCCTGTCGTCCAGACGTGGAGACGCGAGCCCCCCCCCCCCCCTTGCCCCACCACCTTGTGTGTGTGTGTGTGTGGAGAAGTGTACCTCACCCGACCTGACCTCAGGCGGGCACCGGCCCGGAGAGCCTCTGCTCCTTTGTCGACGCCTGCCTTGGCAGGGAGCACTACGTCGGCGCGGGCGCAGAGGTGGGGCTCGCCGTCGTGAGGGCGATCGACGCCATGTACCGCTCCGCGCGGTCGGGCAGGCTGGAGGCATGTGCGCCGGGCGAAGGGGCGGGGATAGTGGGAGGTGAGGTACTAGGCTGAGCGCCGAGCGTCGCCGCCGCCCCGCCGCCGCGCCGCCGCCGCCGCCATCGACACCGCCATGACCCATGTGTGCGTTGCCGTTGGCTGTCGGATTTGTTTCTGCATATGTGATATTACGTCTCTGCTCTCTCTTTCGACATTGCTCTGGGGGGAGGCGGGGGCCCCCGGAGGCACCGTCGGTGCGCCGCGCCGCAGTGCGGAAACGGGGCCCCGGCTCTATTAGTCTTTGGCGTCGAGGCCGACAAGTGGGTGTGAGTATGCGCGGCGCGGGGCTCCATCTCGAGCGTTCGTCCCAGCGCAGCGCTGATAAAGCGCCGTCCCTCACCAAAGAGTGGTGGTGGCCATTTGGCAACTGCAGCCGAACAAGGGAGAAGCGCGCAACATAGCTTGTACGCGCGATGTGACACGGCGCGGCGGAGGAGGAGCAGGGCGGGGCAGCTAAGTTTTGGTCGGGTGGCAGTGGTGGCCGGCCCGGGGGCGTGAGCCGTTCTCGTCGATTATCTATACGAAATTGAATCCGCGTCACTGGGTTGGGTTTTGAGGGCATGGATGACAAAATGCTTAATGGGGGGAGCCCCGGGAGAGGGTGTGTGGGGGGTGTGTGGCTCCCCCCGCTGCCGCTCGTGGGAGCGGCCCGCGGCGCTCTGCTGTGCGTGAGCCCCAGCCTGCTGTCCGCCGTCGCGCGTTTTTTCATGGAAATCTCCGCAGGGCGCAGGCCCGCAGGCGTCCGCACACCTCACCATGCCGCCGCACACATTATCACATATCAGCTCCCTTGAGACCCACTCCCAGCACCCAGCTCCGAGGCTACATGTAGCTCCGAGGCTACCCAGCACATCGTTCCATCGACCCTCACAACTCTCTCTTGTACCACCTACCCGCAGGACCCTCCTGGGCCACTCCTGCGGAAAAGGGGTGGCCACGGTCCGGGGTTGTGTTTTTGTGTGAACTCAACCTCTCACAGACCAGCGCATTGGCCAAAGTACAGGTTTCGATCCGGGCCACCGCAAATTTTGATCAGCAAATTTCGAGGGGCGGCCGCAAATTTTGAGGTAGATTTTGATTGTCAAAACGTGTCCGTCTTGGCACAGGATAGAGCATATAGGCGGCGAACACCCAGGTGCGCAGGGACATCGCGACTCTGCCCGCTCGCTCGACCCTTTTGCCGCGAGAGGGCGCCGGCCGCGTGTAAGAGGTGGCTGGCGCCCTGAGGCGGCAATTGGTGGCGTGGGGAGTGCGGAACGCTACTGGCGGCGCGACAGGGCCTCTCTCCGCTGCGTGTGCCGCCCATCAGCACGCGGGTGCGCAGACATCGCGACTCTGCCCGCTCGCTCGACCCTTTTGCCGCGAGAGGGCGCCGGCCGCGTGTAAGAGGTGGCTGGCGGCCTGGCGCCCTGAGGCGGCATTTGGTGGGGTCAGCGTGCGGTGCTGAGTCTTACTCGTCCGCGCTGGGGCCAGATCCCAGCGCAGAACTCTGCAACGCTGGCATACAAACACAAGAGGACTAACCCTAACCCTAACCCTAACCCTAACCCATACCTAACCCTCTAACCCTAATAACCCTAACCTAACCCACCCCCCAACTCCACACCTTAAATGTGAAAGATCTTGATGTATGATGAAAATCAGGCCCGACTGCAAATTTCTTCAAAATTTTCGCAGGCGCTCTGCGCCTGTAGATTTTGAAATAAATTCGACAAAATTGGTACCTGGCCCAACCAGCGCACAGCGCCATATAGGAGGTATTTTCTTCTCAATAACAAGGCTGTGAACAGGTGGGGTTGTGGTTTATGTGAACAGCGTCGAACACTGAGCTAGACGACTTGTCGATGCGTGTACCGTCGGTCGTGCTCGTCGGCGCTGTCGCATTTCGCACGCGCGGCGGTGGGCCAAGAACAGATGCAGAGGCGCGCGTGAAGCACTGCCGCCCGTCCAAAGACTTTCAGCGGACTATGTCTCTAGCGGTCTGAGCATTCTCGTCAGGCTAACAAACGCAAAGGAGCCACTCGACCATTTGCAGAAGTGGTACAGCCAGCAAAAAAAGCAATACACGACAGGAGAGTTCAAGTACCTATTTTGGACTAGCATGCGAACCGGCATTCGCCCCCCAGACGAATCCATCGCGTCTGTGGTGGGTCAGCTGGTCCAGGCTTGCAATGCGACGCCAGCCTGCCGTGAGACGCAGGGTGGTGCATGGTACTTCGCAAAACGCGTGCAGGACCGGACAATCCAACAAACATCTGAGCGACTCATGCACGAAGGGGTTCATTGTAACACCAACAACGACCAGGTTCGGTGGTTCTCCAACGTGATGTCGCCGGAGATGATGCGCCGCCTAATGAAGGATGCCAGCTTGCGGGTGCTTCGTGAGTACAAACCGTCGGCCTCCGAGCCTTTGGACGTGCAGATCGGAGCAACTCGCTTCTCGACCGGTCCTGTTTCGCCGTCCCTCAAAAATAACGCAAGCCGTAACAACCCGAATTCGGGGTTTCCTCCCTGTGAGGGTGGGTCCACCCGCAACTGCTACGACGAGGACGCGTTCCCGCTCAACTGCCCGGACTACTGCCTGCGCTTGCACGGATTCGGCGTGGCTGATGCGGGCTGGGATTTGAAGGATACTTCCAACACGATGTACTACGCTCCGTGGGGCCCGTCCCCGGGACAAACTTGCTACATGAAGACCATCTTTCCAGCACGGTATGGCGTCGTTAGTAATGTTGGCGGGCGGGACCCCTTTGCCGGCTGGGCAGCAGACAAGACGTGGGAAGGGGACCACGTGGTCCAAGGGGACAGCGTGGGAAGGGGACCCTGGCCCAAGCTCGCCCCCTTGGGCCAGGGTGGGTGCGGCGATTGCGACGACTGCGAGTGCGGTGGCGTTTCCACTGCCCAGGCCTGCAAGAACTCGAGGGGCCCCAACTTTCAAGGGGCCTGCGTTTACGCGACCCCAGTTGGGGCGACGTGTGTACCGGGAACCGCCGACTTTGCCCCGGTGGGGACACTGCCGATGGAAGCAGATGCTTGGCACGACCCCGGGTACCCCGGGTGCTCTCAGCCGGGCTCTGCGTGCTCCGTTCGCGCTGCCAAACTCGCGGACGAAGCCCAGCGCCAATACCTTTGGCCGCACAATCTCTCCTGAGTTCTTCCGCGGCTTGCGCACCGTCAGCAGTTGCGAGCGAGCAGGAGAGAGAGAGAAGAGCTCGCCGCGGGGTAGGAGCGGCCACCTTGCTCGGCACCGCCCCTGCACAAGTCAGTTAGCCCACCTGTGCTGCGGTGGCAGCCCTCCTTTCTCGCTCCACCCCTAGCTCCGTCCGCCCCGCCCCCCAGCCCGCCCCCAGGCCCCCAGGCCCGCGTCCCCACCCTCCCACATCACAGCTCTCCGTCTCTGGCACTGGCCGGCAGGTTAGCTGTACTTAGTGTTCCGGGAAGAAAACTCTTTCCGTCGAGGTTTTACGTGTCGAGTAATCTGAATGCCTTCGCACCGCTCCTATCGGCGCCGCCATCATCTTGGCGAAATCTCCTTGCTCGCGCTCCTGTGCGATCATCATGGTCTCGCTGTGGTCACCTGCATCAGTAAGCTCAATTTCGGCAGCTGATGCCCTCGGCGCTGAGCGCGGGCCACATGCCGTGATAAAGCAGGGAGGCACACTGACGCACACAAGCTGGGACCGGACAGGGTCCTTACTTTGCCACGGGAATGATCCTCTCCTGGTCCTTAGCCAACCTGACAGGGTTAAGGTACGTTGGCGAGTTCGATGAGGATGAGTACGACGGAGCAGAGGATCCAGATGATCCTGCGACAAACGGCACAGCTGGCGAAGAGTCTAGAACGACAGAGAGCAGGGCAGAAGCCGAAAGACGAACCCTGATGTACACACTAAGGCATGGGGAAATCTCCCTGTTGCGGCGAATCGGGTTGCCCATCAGAAGGCCCTCGGGTTTGCCACACGCCTCGCATCGCCTCTCCGCGTCAGCGTTCCTTCAAACTCACAGGGACATTCTGAGAGCCAACCCCGAGGCGAGCTTCCACATCTTGAATGTGAGGGACCGCGCCTCCAACCTCGACCATCTCTTTGATCCGCTGGACAACCTTCTTTCCGCGTCCCTCTCCGCAAAGAGCTTCGCCGGCGAGCTCGGATGCCACCACCGACCCTCTGGAAAGCGGATGCGCCTCTGCGGGTCGTGGTTCACGTGCGCCGCGGCGACCTGCTGGGAGAACCCATAGTCATTGAGGAGGGTGCTGTGTGCGTCCTGCAGCTCGGTGAAGATGGAGAGCTGCTGGAAGTCAGCCGCCGACTCGGCCGTGATGTCGACGGCTCGTTTGGGTCGACAGTAAATCTCCCACAACCCACGTAAATCCGTCTTTTTCAGGCACCCGGAGCCCTCCGCGGCCGCTTCTACGCCGGCGAAGCACCATCAAGCTGCTGTACGGCCCCGGCATCGCCTCCCCTGGCTTAGCTCTCAGTCAATATATTGTGCACATGGTCGGTCTCTACAATATACTCACTGACACTGAACCTCCCAGAGCTCGTCCCGGTCCGTCACGGCCATCCTCGTCCTCCGGCGGGCCCCCGGCCGCGGCGCGGTGCGGCGGCGTCACAAATCCGAACGCAGAGCACCGGGACGTGGTCGGGCGATCTGAGGCCCAGGTAGGCGAATGTATTGCCCATCCAGGGCTATCACCTGGACCTATCAACAGGCGCCTGCGGCGCCGTGCTCAGGAGTTGGTTTTCACTCACTCGAAATGTGGACGTAAAAGGGTTAAGGCGGCGTAAGGGCTGCGCAAGCGCGTCTCACGATTGAGCACTTCATTGAGCACATGCTTTTTATTCCTTTTTTTACTCGTATTGCTAGCACCTCCCACCTGAGAGAGTTTTAAAGTCGGGCGTCGGAGGCCGCGAGGGCGGTCGGAATGGGTGGCGGCGACGCCGTCACAGAGGCTAGCGACGGACGGAGGCTGCATCGACAGGGTGCACGAACTCACCATGGTCACAAGTCTTTAGTAAAACGCCAGCACTCGACACGTGACGAAGGTGTATTGGGCTCGAAGGCGCGGTGAACACAACCGCCTCGAGCGTACCGCTCAAACACGAGCCGAGGGGGCGGGAGGGGGGGCGGCGGGAGGCGGGAGCTGGGTCCAGTGCGCTCTGCTGCTGGGGGGGGTCGGCGTCGGGAGCCGTCGGGACCCCCCCCCAGCAGCAGCGCTCTGCTGCTGCGTGCTGGGCCTGGGGGGGTCGGGACGCCCCCCCCAGCAGCAGCGCTCTGCTGCTGGGGGGTCAGACCCCCCCCCCCCCTAGCAGCAGGGACGGGCTTAGAAGGGCAGGGGGGGTACCGAGCAATGTGCGGCCGCTCAAACGTCAAAGCTCAAAAGCGTGCTGCCACCTCTAAACGTACATGCAGCACTCTCTCACATCACTCACGTACGCTACGACCTTCTCGCGGACGGATAGTTTATCCGGTATTCCACCTCCTTTCCACAATCGACCAGATCGCCGCCCTCGGCCAAATCCTGTCGGTCGATGATCGAGAGGGTCGACGCCCCCCACGACGACGCGCCGGGCGATCGCGTGCCGTCAGCTCCGGCGCCACCCGGCTCCGCCCCACCGCCCTCGCCGGGCACGAGAGGCAGACGTATGTCATGCGGCAGCGCGAGCGTCGTCGGCGGCCAAGCCGCCGACGAGGCGCCCAGCTGCGCCTCGCCGAGGCCTTGCGCCAGCTGAGCCAGATCGACGGGACGCCGCTGCACCACCGCGACTGGCTGCCCTCCACTCCGCGCCTCGCCTCGCGCGCTTGCGTCAGGCCCCCCCCCGCCGCCGCTGCCGCCGGCCCCGCCGCCGGCCCCGCCGCTACACGAGCTGCCTCCGCCTCCGCTGGCGCCGCCGGCAAGGAGTGGCTGCCCCAGCGCCGTGGCCGCAGCCGCGAGCGCGGCGTCCGCCTGAGCGGCGCGGGCCCGCCGGCGCCGGTGCCTCGCATAGGCGAGCCCGCCCAGCACGCAGCACAAGCACACCACCGCCGCGCCAACCAGCCCCCAAGCCCAGCGCGGCACGCGCTGCGACGAGGACGGCGGCGGCGCGGCGTCCGGTGACTCTGGCGGCGGCGAGAGCAGCAGCGGCGGCGGCGGCGGCGGCGGCGCCGGCGCGGTGTCGGCGTACTCGCACCGGCCGCTGCGAATCGTCGCGAGGACGTCGTAGTTGGATGCGTACGAGTCGGTGCACCCGACATACAGACAGCTGTCGTCGTCGACGCGCGCGATGGGGTTGAAGTTGTCGGCGCGGTCCTGCGGTCGGCGGAGGGCGGTGGGCTCGGAGTGCGTTACAAGCAGGGTGCGCGTGCGTGCGTGCGTGCGTGCGTGCGTGCGTGCGTGCGTGCGTGCGTGCGTGCGTGCGTGCGTGCGTGCGTGCGTGCGTGCGTGCGTGCGTGCGTGCGTGCGTGTGTGCGTGTGTGCGTGCGTGCGTGTGTGTGGTGGGTGCGCTGGGGGTCGCGGGCGGCGCGCTCGCCTCGGTGCAGCCTCGGTAGATGAGGCAGGACCCGTCGTTTGCGGTGGCGTTGTCCGCGTAGTTGTTGGCGAGCAAGTCGGTGCAGCCGAGGACGTAGCAGCTGCCGTCGTCAACCGTCGCTGACGCGAGGTAGTTGAGCGCGTGTAAGGCAGTGCAGCCGCCGCGCGCCCACTCGCAAGCCCCCTCCATGTACAGGTCGGCGGCGGGGTCGTAGTTGAGGGCGACGGCGTGCGTGCAGCCCGCCTCCGCGCAGAGCTCCGGCCCGCCCGCCGTCGCCGCGGGCAGGTAGTTGTCCGCGCTCGGCGACCTGCAGCCGAGCACGGACCACGAGCACGTGCCGTCGTCCACCGTCGCCTGTGGGCGGAACTCCTTGCGCGCCGGGTCGGTGCAGCCAATCACGACGCACGAGCCGTCGTCGAGGCGCGCCGCGGGGACAAAGTTGGCCGCGGCGGGCTGCGTGCACCCGCGCGGCGGCCGCTCGCACGATCCATCCTCCACCGTCGCTCGCGGGTCGTGGTTGGCCGCGTCAGGGTTGGTGCAGCCCGCGTACTCGCACCCGCTGCTGATGGTGGTGACGGCGGCGATTCCGCTCAGGCCAGGAATGTGGTTGGCCGCGAGCGGGTCGAGGCACGCGGAGAGCACAAAGCTGCACGAGCCGTCGTCGACCGTCGCCTCGGGTTCAAAGTTGGACGCCTCGTACGGCGGCGCGCCGCGCGCCATGCAGCCGGGCACGCGAGGCAAGCAGCAATCGGCGCAGCCGCGCGTCGCCTGGCGCAAGAAGTTGAGGGCGGCCGCGTCGTCGCAGCCGACCACCTCGTACTCGCACCCCTCCGAGCGCGTGGCGGCCGGGTCGTGGTTGAGCGCCTCCGTGTCCATGCAACCAAGCACGAGGGCGACGCAGCTGTCGTCGTCGGCGGTCGCGAGCGGCTGGAAGTTGACGGCGCTCGGGTCGGTGCATCCGTAGAGCAGCCCTGGCGCCCTCTCCGACAGCGCACGGCCGGGGGACTCCTCCCCCTCCCCCAAGAAGAAGGTCCGCAGCGGCTCGCATCGGCCGCCGTCGTTGCGCTGCGCGAGCGGGTTGTAGTTTGCGGCCGAGCTGTTGGTGCAGCCGAGCAGCGGCGCGACGCACGACCCGTCGCCAAACGTGGCGGACGGCGCAAAGTTGACGGCCAGCGGGTCGGTGCAGCCGCCGTAGCGGCACAGGCCCGCGTCGGAGACGTCCGCCCACGCCGCATAGTTTGCTGCCGCCGGGTCGGTGCAGCCTGCGGGCGTGGGCGGGCACGAGCCGTCGTACACGTTGGTCTCGGGGTCAAAGTCCCTCGCACCGGGGCGCGTGCAGCCGAGGATGGCGCACGAGCCGTCGTCCGAGGTGGCGATCGGCAGGTAGTTGGCCGCGCGCGCGTCGGTGCACCCCGCGAGTGGAAAGTCGCAGCTGCCGTCGTCCACCGTCGCGTCCGCGTCGTAGTTGGCTGCCGATGCAAAGGCGCAGCCGAGTCGAGGCAGGTCACACGAGCGGTTGCCGACCGCGTCCACCTCTGCGAGCGGGTTGTAGTTGAGCGCGGAGGGGTCGCGGCAGCCGACCACCGCGAAGGAGCACGAGCCGTCGTAGAACGTCGCCAAGGCGTCGTAGTTGAGCGCCGACGGAGCCACGCAGCCCGTCCGGTTTGGCACGCACGACGCAGGGTCTGGCTCAAAGACGAGGCTCGCGGGCGGGTCGCCCCGTGCGGCAAAGTTGAGCGCCGTCGGGTCGGTGCAGGCCCGGACGACGTACCTGCAGCTGCCGTCGTGCACGGTCGCCTCGGCGTTGTAGTTTGACGCCTGGCCCGCCATGCAGCCCGGCCGCCGCGCGATGCACGTCCCGTCATCGGCCGTCGCCGCCGGCCAAAAGTTAAGCGCCGACGGCTCCGTGCAGCCGTCCACCTCAAAGGTGCACCCGCCGACGTCCTTGGTTGCGTTGGCCTGGTAGTTGCTCGCCGCGGGGACTGTGCACCCGATCGTGTGCGGCACGCAGGAGCCGTCGTCCACCGCGGCGGCGGGGTTGTAGTTGGACTCATCGGGGTCGGTGCAGCCGCCGGGGAGGTACTCGCACGAGCCGTCGTGCAGCGTCGCGAGAGGGTCAAAGTTGCTCGCGACAGAGGCGGTGCATCCGGGTCGCGCGGGCTGCGGCGGCGACGGCAGCGGCAGGTTGACTGGCAGGAGCGGCGGCGACGGCGGGAGCGTGCGCGGCCCGCAGTCTGCGCAGTCGGTGCCATACTCGCAGTCGGCGAACTGGGAGTTCGGCCCACCGTCGTCGCAGACGAAATCCTTGGCGTAGGGGCACTCGTCGCTGCAGACGAGGTCGGACGGCGGCGGCGACGGCGGCACCACCGCCACCACCGAGCCAAAATACACAGAGGGCGCAATGCTCACATCCACGTAAGAGGGCGAGGATGGCGGCGACGGACGGGAGGGCGGCGAGGGCGGCGAGGGCGGCGAGGGCGGCGAGGGCGGCGAGGGCGGCGAAAAGGGTGGCGAGGGCGGCGAGGGCGGCGAGGGCGGCGAGGGCGGGAGCAGGGCGGAGGACAGGAAGGAGGCGAAGGCGGCGCCCGGGCGGACCAGCGGCGGCAGAGAGACGACGAAAAAGTCGCCCGACGAGGCTGGCGGCGGCTGCGTGAGGAAAAAGTCGCCCGACGCCACCGGGGGTACGAGGGTGAGCTCCGGCAGGCTGACGCTGTCGGTCGGCACCGTCGCCGGCGGCGTGTGCCGCATCAGGAAGCCGAGCGGGTCGTCGCCAAAGCCAGCAGACCCGTAAACCTCTGGCAGCGGCATGTCGTCGACACCGGGGAGGAGGTCGATGGCGTCCGCGCGCTGCATCTCGCGCCGGTCGAGGCGGAAGAGGGTCGGGTCCTCTTCGGCCAGGTACGAGTCCGCCTGCGCGAGGTCGACAGGCTCGAGGCCAAACGCGTCGTCGAGCCCGCCAGCGGCCGCGTACAGCTCGTCAAACAAGGCCGCGCTGTCGTCGAGGTCAGCGCCGCCCGCGCCAAGCCCGTCCTTGCCGCCAACAGGGGTGGGGAGCTGGACGGCGCCCAAGGCCGGAGCCGGCCTGAGCGAGCCGTCCGCGAGCCCGCCGGCAAAGGCGCGATCGACAGCGGTAAAGCCGGTGCCCTCAATGAGGTCGCGGGCAGCTGCCAGCTCGGCACCACCGCCGAAGGACATCCCGGACGCGAAGCTGTGCCCCGTGAAGGATTGCGGTATCAACTCGATGTCGATGAAACCACCGCCGAGACGCCCCAGCGCCGGGGTCCCGGGCTGTCCGAGCAAGGCTGCGTGCTGCCGCAAGAGAGTGATCTCATCCACTGGGGCCGCCGCCGCCACTGGCGCAAAACCGCCCTGCCCGAAAGCGAAGGCTTGGGCTCCGAGCGAGACAGCCGAAGCGAAGCTCGCCGCAGATAAGCCCAAGCCGGCGACGCCCAACTCGCCCAAGAGCGTGAGCTCGTCGATCGGCACGTCGAGGCCGGGCATATGCGGAGGATGGGGCGCCCACTGCGCTCCGGCATCATCCGTCCCCGCCGCGCCAAAAGCGGCGGCCGCGGGGCCCTGCCCGAGGGCGAAGGCTTGGGCGCCAAGCGAGACAGCCGAAGCAAAGCTCGCCGCCGATATGCCCAAGCCGGCGACGCCGAGTTCGTCCAAGAGCGTGAGCTCGTCGATCGGCACGTCGAGGCCGGGGTGGGGCGCCCACTGCCCGCCGGCTCTGCCGACACCGAAGGCGGCCTCGAGTGCTGGAAAACCGTCGGTGCCGTCGGCGAAATGCGCCCTGCCCCACGAGAGCGTCGAGCCAAAGCTCGCCGTGGAGGCCACCTCCAGCAGCCCTGGGAGCTGTAGCCCGTGTGTCGGCCCGAGGTCCGCGAGCTCTGGCAGGCGGGGCGCGCCGCCCTGTCCAAACGCATGCAGCGGCTCCGTCGCCGCCCCAAAGGGCTGCGCGAGTGGGCCTAAGTAGGCGGCCAAATCGCCCCCGAACGAGACCGCCGACCCAAACGACGCCATCGACAAGTGCTCCGGCGACTCGAGGCCCAAGACGAGGGGGTCCAAGTCGCGCACCGCGTCGCCGCCCAGCGCATCGGGCAGCGCGGGCAGGCCGCCGTCAAGTGGCAAACCGTCGAGCAGGGGCAAGCCGTCGAGCAGGGGCAAGCCATCGAGCGGGCTGAGGGCGGGCAACCCGCCGAGCACCCCGCCAAACGAGGCCGCCGACGTGAAGCTGCCCGCGAAGGACATGCCCCTCGTGTCCAGGTCGCGGAGCAGGTCCAGGTCCAAGTCGCGCAGCACATCGGCCTGCTCTGTGCCCAGCAGGTCGGTACGCAGCAGCGCCTCGAGGGGCTGGGCGGCCGGGTGGGCGGCGGGTAGGAGCGGGTGGCCCGGGAGGCCGCCAAAGCCGTCGAAGCCGCCTGCCAGCTGCGTCTCGAGCCACTCGGCGTCCGCCAGCCTGGCCAGGTCGGTCAGCCCCGGCAAAGCGCCCCCGAACGACAGCGCCGAGGCGAAGGAGGAGAAGGAGGCGGCCGGGCTGCCCGGCAAGCGGAAGTCGAGCAGCTCGTCCAGCTGCTCAATGTCCCTAAGCTCGGGCAGGTCGGGCAGCCCGAGAGCGGGCAGGCCGAAGCCGCCCGCAGCCGCGCGAGACTGCGCAGCCACGTCCTTGAGCGCAGCCACGTCTTCGAGCTCGGAGAAGTCGAGGAGCCCCTCGACCAGGGTGAGGTCGGGCAGCGGCGCGCCGCCCGAAAGGGAGAGCGCCGAGGAGAAGGAGCCCATCGACAGCCCCGCCATCGGCGCGCCGAGCAAGTCGAAGTCCCTCAGCCCGTCGAGGCGGTCCATGTCTAGGAGCTCCTCGGCGGGCCCAATGCCGGCGGGCCCAAAGCCGGCCATCGCCGCCGGCAGCTGCAGATCGGCGAGGTTGTCCCACTCGAGGAGCTCGGTGAGCCGGTCGGTGTCGTGCAGGCCCGCCCCGGCACGCGAGAAGGAGAGGGCCGACGTGAGCGACGCCATCGACAGCCCGGTCAGGCCCCGGAGGTGGAAGTCGGCCAGCGCGTCCAACTCCGGCAGCTCAAAGTCTGTGAGCTCGACCCCGCCCGGCAAGCCAAAGTCGGCCGTGGCGGCCGCCGGCAGCTGCAAGTCGCTGAGGGCGTCCCACTCGAGGAGCTCGGTGAGCCGGTCGGTGTCGTGCAGGCCCGCCCCGGCACGCGAGAAGGAGAGGGCCGACGTGAGCGACGCCATCGACAGCGCGTCCAGGCCGGCTGGCAGCGCAAAATCGAGCAGCGCCTCGTCGCTGAGCGCGTCGGGGAAGCCGGGGAAGCCGCCCGCCAGCGCCGCGGGCAGCTCCTCCAGGGCCTCCCAGTCGAGCAGTCGGTCCGTCAGCTCCGCCGCCCGCGGGTCGAGCCCCGCGAAGGACGTGGCGGAGGTGAGCGAGGCCATCGAGGGCAGCGTGTCCATCCGCAGCGCGTCGGGCCACGCCTCGGTCCAGCCGGCCGTGTCGAAGTCGAGCAAGGTCGGCAGCCCGTCCTCGAATATGCCCGTGGCGAGCGCGTCCAGCGCGGCCTTCGGTCCAGCGCGCCCTGAGGGTCCTCCTTCAGTGAGCCGGTCGAAGTCGAGCTCGGCCGCCAGCAGGTCTTGGGGCAAACCGCCGAGCGTGAAGGATGTCATCGACGTGAAGGCGGACGTCATCGACAAGTGGCCGAGCGCAGCAAAGTCCGTCAGATCGAGGCCCTCCAGCTGCTCAAAGTCGCTCAGCCTGTCCAGCCCCTCAACGCCGCGCCAGCCGGCAAGCGGCCCCGCGAGCCCGGCCGCTGCCGCCTTCTGGCCGAGCCGCGCACCGGCGTCGAGCCCCTCACCGAGCCCCGTATCCAGCCCGAGCGGGCCGAACGGGTCGAAGAGCGGGCCGAGCGGGTCGTCGAAGTTGAGCGCGGCGAGCGCGTCGCGGCCCGCCAGCCCCCCGCCAGCAAAGGAGAGGCCGGAGGCGAAGCTGCCCCCGCCGAGCGAGGTGAGCTGAAGTCCGTCCACGAGACGGCCGAGCTCAAGCTCACGCAAGCCAAAGTCGAACGCCTCGGTGTCGCGGAGTACGTCCTCGGCAGTCGGCAACGCGCCGAGCTCGCCGCGGCCAAGAGCGGGCGGCAACATGTCCACACCGAGCACCTCGAGCGCGTCGAAAGGGCTGAGGCCCGCGCCGCCAAACGAGGCGGCGGACGAGAAGCTCGCGCCGACAGACAGCAGGCCGTCGAGCTGCTTCAGCGCTCCAAACGCCGGCAGCTCTCGCAGGAGGCCAAGATCGTCGAGAAGCGGGGCGTCCAAGCCCACGTCCAAGGCCGCAAAGCCCGCATCCGTAGGGACTAAGGGAGAGGCGCCGGTCCGGGCGAAGGACCCGACGCCAGAGGCGAAGCTTCCCCCAAAGGAGACGGCGGCCAGGCCTGCTGCCAGGCCGAGGTCTCTGAACAGGTTGGCTGCATCGACCCCAAGCTGCGGCATGTCTCGCAACGGCTCCACCAGCGGAGGGTGGCCGTCTGCCCCGAAGCCATCGCCGTACGCGAGGAGATCCGTCGGCAGCAGCGCAAAAGACCCGACGCCAGAGGCGAACGAGCCAAACGAGACGCCCGCCAGGCCGGCAACGAGGCCGACGTCGCGCGCGAAGTCGGCCGCATCGATTGCGAGCTGCGGGATGTCGCGCAACGGCTCGACCAACTCGGGGGACGCTGCAGCAGGGAAGCGATCGCCAAACGCGAGGAGATCCGTCGGCAGCACCGTGAACGAGCCACCCGATGCAAAGCTGCCGCCGAGCGACACGCCGTTGATGCCAGCGGCCAAGCCCAAATCACGCGCCAGCTGCGCCGCGTCGACGCCCAAATCGAAGTGAGGCGACGTGAGGCCGATGTCGACGCGCGGCAGATGGGGCAGCCCGTCGGCCGCCCTGCCAAACGCAACGTTTGCCATCTCCGCAGGTGGCAGCGCGAACGAGCCACCCGATGCAAAGCTGCCGCCGAGCGACACGCCGGCGATGCCAGCGGCCAAGCCCAAATCACGCGCCAGCTGCGCCGCGTCAGCCCCCAAGTCGAAGTGAGGCGAAGTGAGACCAATGTCAATGCGCGGCAGACGGGACAGACCGGCCGCCCTGCCAAACGCAACGTTTGCCATCTCCGCAGGTGGCAGCGCGAACGAGCCACCCGATGCAAAGCTGCCGCCGAGCGACACGCCAGCGATGCCGGTGGCCAAGCCCAAATCACGCGCCAGCTGCGCCGCGTCAGCCCCCAAGTCGATGTCGACGCGCGAAGGGCCGACATTCATGTCGATGCGCGGGAGGCGGCCGGGCGAACCATCGGCTGCCTTTCCGAACGCCAGCGCCTCAGCTAGCTCCGCCGCGGGCAGCGCGAAAGAGCCATAGCCAGAGGCGAAGCTCCCACCAAACGAGACGCCCGCCAAGCCGGCGGCCAAGCCGAGGTCACGCGCGAGGTCGGCCGCATCGATACCCAAGTCGATGTCGACGCGCGGCGGGCCGACGTCCATGTCGATGCGCGGCAAGTGGCGGGGAGCGTCACGCGGCTCTGGCGGCCGGAGGTAGTCGTGGACGGCGGCGGCGAGCACCTCGGGCAGCGAGACAGGGCCGCCCCGGCCGCCGCCCTCCTCTCCGCCGCCCTCCTCTCCGCCGCCCAGCCCGAGAAGCTGCTCGGAGCCGGCGGGAGCGTCGAGGTAGCGGAGTGCCTCGAGCGCGTCCAGCACCGCCTGCTCCTCGGCTTGCTGCTCCTCCCACCCGCCGGCAGCACCGCCGCCGGCTGGAGTCAGCGGCTCGACCAGCTCCTCCCCGGCTGCGGCCAGGTCCGTGCCGGACCCGTCGGACGGCATCGCCACGGGCAGGGTCGCCAAGTCGTCGTCCGAAGAGACCGGCGCGTCGAGCGCGACGACCACGGGCACAAAGGCGCCGCTCCCGCCGGAGAGCACCGCCAGGCTCATCGCGTCGAAGCCGGCGGGATGCGGGCGGCGGGGAACGGTGCTGGCTGCGTCCTGGGCGGCGCGCGGGCGTCCGGGGACGGTGCTGGCTGCGTGCTGGGAAGCGCGCGGGCGTCCGGGGACGGTGCTGGCTGCGTGCTGGGAGGCGCGCGGCTGCGCAGCACCGCCGCCGGCTGGAGTCAGCGGCTCGACCAGCTCCTCCCCGGCTGCGGCCAGGTCCGTGCCGGACCCGTCGGACGGCATCGCCACGGGCAGGGTCGCCAAGTCGTCGTCCGAAGAGACCGGCGCGTCGAGCGCGACGACCACGGGCACAAGGGCGCTGCTCCCGCCGGAGAGCACCGCCAGGCTCATCGCGTCGAAGCCGGCGGACGGCGCACCGACGGCGGGGCGAGAGCGGGCGGGCGGGCGGGCCGGCGCGAGCGGCTCTGTGAGCGGCGGGGTGAGCTCGTCGGTAATCTGCTCGTCGGCCGTCTGGCCGCCCGCCTCGCCGGAGAGCTGGAGCAGCTCGGCCAGCAGCTCGTCGCCCGCGCCTCGGCCCGGACGGCTCTGGCTCGCTCGGCCTACCTCCGGGCCGGCATCGCCCGGTGCAGCCAGCTCCGCGCGCTCGCCTCGCTGCAAGAGGGGCGGGCCGCCGAATGCCAAACCGCCAGCCTCTGCGCCGCCGGCGCGCAGCAGCTCCTCCATCGCCGCGGCGAGGTCGTCGTCTACGATGGCCTCGCCTGGCGGCGCCCCCTCTCCGGCGTCATCTCCGCCCTCGCCGCCCCCGCCGCCCGCGCTACCCTCGCCGACGGCGTCCGTCAGCTCTGCGAGAAGCGACTGAATGGGCAGATCAGCCCGGGAGGGCAGCAGCTCCCCCTCGCTCTGGGGGGCCGCCGCCCCTTGACCCTCCTCCTCTCCTTCCCCCGGCAGCTCTCTCCTCAAGCGCGCGAGCGGCTCCAGCCCAGCCATCTCCGACCCGGCTGTCTCCAACCCTGCTGCCGCGAGCAGCTGGCCCCAGAGCACGTCGTCGAGGCCGACGCTGTCCAGCCCGGCGAGCAACGCGTCCTCGTCCTCCGCCTCCTCCTCCTCCAGGCCCTCGTACCCTGAGGCGGCCGCCGGCGTGAAGAGCTCGGCTCGCGGCGTCGGCCGCCGCCGCTGTCTCGGCTCGCGCCGCCGCCCCTCCTCGCCCTCCGTCTCGTACTCGTCCGACTGCAGCACAAGCCGCAGCGCCGCGGCCAGCTCCTCCTCGCTCTCCTCCTCGCCGCGGGTGGTGAAATCCGCGTCGAAGGCTGCGTCCGCCGCGCGTCGGCTCCGGCGCGCTACGCGGCGGCGGCCGCCGCCTCTCGCACCGTTGCCGCCGCCACTGTCGCTGCCGCCGCCGCCGCCGCCGCTGCTGCTGCCGCCGCCTTCGCCCCAAGCGCCAGCGGCCGCTAGCAGCCCCTCCGCCGTCTCATCCTCGGGGCCTAGAGCGCCCCGCGCCAGGCGCCGGTGGAGGTCACGCTGTACCGCATGGTCCGTGGGAAGGTTGTCGAGCAGCTGCAGCCCCGCCGCCTCGTCGCCGACGCCGCCAAAGCCGGCGGCGACCTCGCTCAGCGGCGGAGGCTCGCCGGCGCGCGCCCACCAGCCAGCGGTGGCGTCGGGCCGAGCGGCTGCCCGAGCGGTGAGGTTGGCCGTTGCGTTATTTCGATCCACCACACGCCGAGCCCTGGCAGCTACGGGCTGCGCCTCGCTGACGGCGGGAAGCGGCCGACGAGGCGCCTGCTTCTCGAGGCTCGCGGCGCGGACCACCGGCAGCCGCGACGCGGCACGCTCCGGCGCCGCGCGGCCGAGCGCCGCCAGTGCGACGAGCCAGCCAAAGCGGACCATTATCAGGGCCGGGCTGACATTTTGCTGCGTCGGCGTGCACTTTGCGGCGTCGAATCGTAACTGTTGGCGTGACCTGTCAGAAAGGAGAATGCACAGTGCGACATGTCGCGTCATCATCTCTCCAGCGTCCACCCATACCGCGTTGGTGTCCAGTCCGAGCCTGGCTGTTCTTCACCTTTCTACCTAACCGAACCTCGCGGCGCCGCACCCGGGGCACACACGGCCGCGTCGGGGGGGGGGGGAGAGAGAGAGAGAGAGAGAGAGAGAGAAACCGCCAATGGCCGTTATCCGTTAGTGCGGACGTCGCCGCGGCTCGCCTCTGCCGCGGCGGCTGCTGCGCGCACGCGGCGGCGCCGCTCTCTCGCGAGACGGCTGGCGACGCGGCTCGCCGCCGACGTACGGTGCGCTCGTCCGACGGTCCGCAGCGTGGCGTGCGCGGCGCTGAGCGCCGCTCTGCGAGCGCCTCTGCGCCTGCACTGCCTGTCTCTGTTGCTGTTGGTGGTGGTGGTGCTGCTGCTGCCGGTGCCGATGCTGCTGCTGGGGCGGCGCGGCTGTGCGACTGGGCTCGACGCGCGCGTCGCGAGTGTCTGACGCGGCGGGCGGCGTCGGGCAGGTGCGCTTCTCTCTCGGGTGGTGGTGGTGGTGGTGCTGCTGCTGCTGGTGGTGCAGATGCTGATGCTGGTGCGGCGCGGCTCTCCGACGCGACTCGATGCGCGCGTCGCGGCTATCCGACGCGGCGGGCGGCGTCGCGGGCGGCAGCGGTGGCGGCTCGCGGGTGGAGGTGGAGGCTGGTGGCTGTGGTGGACTTTGAGTTTATTTCATGGTCGTGTACGGGGACCGGGGGGTCAACCGGGAGGCAGGGGGTTCAACCAGGCGACGGAGGACCGTGGGCCATCGCGGGGACGGCCCGCCGGAGGCGGGCTCGATTGATCCGGATGGTCTCACCCGGTGGATGGCACCGAGGCGTCTGGGACGCTCCACTCTACCTTAAGCTCCTGAGGGGCGCGTGGTTTTAACCACGTAGTACGACTACAGCCCACCACAGACACCCTCCCTCTCCACACGTGTGCACACACCCTCACCCTCTCCCCTCTCCTCTCTCTCTCTCTCCTCTCTCTCCTCTCCTTGTCTGTGCTGTCTGCCTGACTCAGGCACTAATTCTGCCGATGCGTGATTGTGTGTGGGCTGCTCCGAGGGGGCCCTGTGCGATCCGATGGGTAGGGAGTCTGTGCCCGGGCGGTGTCCGGTGCGGAGTCTCTCTCTGATCCCACCTGTGGTGTTGGGTGTGAGGTCGTGGAAGCTTCGATCCCAAGGGGGGGAGCCGAGCCCACTCATAACCAACTCTCAGGGGCAGTAGGTGGGCGAGCTTCAGGCACGCTCATCTCGATCGTCAAGGCGTTGCTACGCGCGGTCTTCCGCGGGGGGAGCTGCGTCGACGGGTGCGGGACCGCGGCGCAGCCAGTGCCGTGGCGATGCCTCCGGCTGTTTGCGGCGGGCGGCTTGCTGCTCGCTGCGATGGCGAAAAACTCGTCTCGCCACACGCCAAGGGCTTATGCTCTGGCGAGACGTGAGGCGCATGCGCCCAGGAGGGGAGGGGGCATGTGTAACGACACTGCTAGAGATGCCTTTCGGGGCCCAGAGATAAAACTTCTGTGATGCCATGCGTGACCTAGTAGTGTCCCCAGCTATGGGCGTGTCCACGTTGGAGCCAGGTGTGGTGTGGGCGCGAGAATAGCTCCGCCGTTCATGGAGGCAACCGATGCGAGTCGACTGGTGTGTGTCGTCGTGGTTTCGTATCAAGAATTCTCTCTCTCTCGGGGGGGGGGGGGGGGGGGGCAGATGGTAGGGCCTAGGACCAAAAGAGAGAAATCAACGACGGACCTCGGCTTCTCCACATGACCCAAGCAGAGTTACGCCGAGAGGCGAGAGCAAGGGATCGGTCGGCAGGCTGCAGCGACGTCGTCGCAGAACGAGGCAGAGGAGAGCGACGCGACAGAGGAAGAAGCGACAAGAGAGAGAACGACGAGAGTGGGAAGACCGCGAGGTGGCATGAAGGTTGCAGCGAGAATCGGCGAGGGACTGCGAAGAGAGATAGGAAGAGGCGGACGCCCAAGGGTGGGCGACGGCTAGCACCACACTCCTCTCCTTAAAATCCCTGTGTGGTGGCGGCGTGCCGTCCTCCCGTCCCTCCTCTGGCTTATGTGTGTTCTTTCTTTCTTTCTACAGAGAGAGTTGTTTTGTTTAAATTCTTTCTTTCTACATGACCCAAGCATCTAGCACCGTGGACCGTGGGGTGTGATACATTGGAGCGTCGAGGGTCAGTCTGGAGTCGCGTTCCTCCCTTGGCGTGTGGCGAGACGAGTCTTTCGCCATCGCAGCGAGCAGCAAGCCGCCCGCCGCAGCAGCCGGAGGCATCGCCACGGCACTGGCTGCGCCGCGGTCCCGCACCCGTCGGCGAAGCTCCCCCCGCGGAAGACCGCGCGTAGCGACGCCTTGACGATCGAGATGAGCGCGCTCCAAGCTCGCCCACCTACTGCCCCTGAGAGTTGGGAGTGGGATCAGCTCCCCCCTTGGGATCACAGCTTCCACGACCTCACACCCAACATCACAGGCGGGATGAGAAGGGGACTCCACACCGGACACCGCCCGGGCACAGCCCCCCTACCCGTCGTGCTCAAATGCTTCCCTGCCTCGGGCGCAGAATGCCAGGCCTTCAACGCCACTCTCGATGGGGGATTCGCCGAGGACGAGACGTGCTGCGAGAGCCGACGCGAGATCTTGAACTGTCCTTCGCCACCCCGGGTCGAGCCCACGTACAACGAGGATGGGATGAAAATCTCGGACGGATATTCCCTGCCCAACATCACACAGGCGCAGCTCAAGGAATTCTCGGACCCCAACAGCACGAGCTTCGGCAAGCTCGTGCTCAGATTCCCTGTGGCCTACATGCGTCTTCAGCATGGGCTGGGGCAGGACGGAGACGAAGTTTTTGTGCGCGGCATAGCCGCGTACCTCGAGGGTGCGACCTTGGACACGTCGGCCACCAAGTTCAAGGTGAATCTGACGGCCAAAGGTGAGATGAAGAGTCAGGTGAAGAAGCCACCTGAGTCTCACGAGTGTGCCGCGACTTCCGGCCTTTTCGATGACTACATCTTCGCTGGGGCACCGTCGGGCCAGCAGTATTGCTCGTCAGCAGATTGCAATCCCCCGAACGCAGTCGTGTACGAGACAAGCTACTGGAACTGGCACGAGAGCGACGGGTGCGGCGGAATCCGCGAGCAGCCGGTCTTCTCAAACACAAGATTTGCCTACGGCTCGAAGTTTAGTGACGACATGCGATATTGCACCACCGAGAGCTACGAGAAGAGCTACCAGAATGCCGCGCTCACGAAAACCGGCAAACACGGACCCTACAATTCCGCGAGTCTTTTCTCCAGCTTTGAGCTCTCCGTGACGAGCGACGGCACGCCGGTCAACAACTGGGGCATCGACCTGAGCGGCGTCACAGCGATTCACATTGGGTTCTGGCTCATGACCACGGAGGCAGATGAGAGACAGTGCTCCAAGATGTGCGACGCGACTTTCACTGGCGACGAATGCAAAGGTGTCAATGACATTATGAAACAGGTTTGCTGACTCCTCCTCGCTCTGGCTCGACGGCGGGGTGCCGAAAAATGCATTCAGTGGCCACAAGCCTCGAGCCTCAACATACGCGGACCGTAGCGCTAAGTTAATGAGTGGCGCTCCATGTACGACACCCCAGGGTCGACGGCGCAACCGCAACTAAATCGGAAGAAAGGCAATGGAACCCAATGTGCGTCGTTAACGTGAGCGTAGAAAAAGAGGGAGGGGGGAGGGGACCTGCAACGGTATTGATCGATTTTTGTAGAACCTTACGCGAAAAAGAATTTTACTACGCTGGGGGCCAGGTGTGAGTGGGTCGTGCGAAAAAGAAAGTTGCGCACTTCATAATTCATAGCGGTTTTTCGACGACGAGCCTCATATCTAGATACATGTACCAGGGTGTGTGAGTGAGTATTCTTGATACGAAACCACGACGACACACACCAGTCGACTCGCATCGGTTGCCTCCATGAACGGCGGAGCTATTCTCGCGCCCACACCACACCTGGCTCCAACGTGGACACGCCCATAGCTGGGGACACTACTAGGTTAATCAGAGGGCAGATTTGGAGAGATCTCGAGGAGTACATACAGTTACCGCTTTGCGCGGGAGCAGGATTGCGATCTACGTTTGTTTGATTTTGAGGCGTTCGGAGGCTTTGGAAAGGAGGTTCGCAGCACCCTGCCTGAGGGAGGCGGCGAACCAGCTGAGCAACAAACTTTCGCACGCTCAGCACCTGGACGAGGTCACATGGACCACCAAGAACTGGCACGGGCTGCAGATGCAGCGCTTGTCTGTCGTCCTCCACACCGCCGTGGCGTGGCAGACGGTGAACGAGCTAGCGTGCGGGGAGAGCGGCATTGTGCATGGTGCGGAGTGCATTGCCGTTCTTAACGGAGTCGCTTAGGCGGCTCCGGTGGTGAGCCGGTGTGTGTGCCAGTCCGCGCCAGTCCGCGCCCTTGTCGTGCCAGTGTGCTGTGAGAGAGGCTTGTCGCCTAAAAATTCTTTTCTATCCAGCGCAATTGGGCGCCCAGTGCTTAGTGCCAGCCGCCCTCCGCTGCTGCTCGGTGTGAACAGAGTTCGTACACCGAGCAGCTGGGAGCTCCGCAACTCGATCCCTCGAGACCAGACAGGAGGCGGCCAATGGAGTGTGCCATCTGCTTCGACCCGCTTTTGGAGAGCGAGCGGCTGCCGCTGCCCTGCCGCTGCACGGTGCCCTACTGTCTGGGCTGCTGGGACCGGGCGCTCGCCTCCTCCTTCAACAGCGCGGGCCACGCCCGCTGCCCCTCTTGCCGCCGGCCGGTTCGCGTGGACTTTGACCCGGGAGACGAGGACGGCCCCGCACGCGGACGTCTCATCTTTAGCGCAGAGACGGGCGACGGCAGCAGCGCAGAGGATGCTGTCTCCAAGGAGGGGGTGGTGAATCGGCTGGCGGAGCAGGCGGCGCCGCTCATGACGAGGCTGCTGCGCCGGTTTGGAGAGCGGCACTCGTCGCTGCGCGCGATTGCTGAGGCGCCTTCCGAGGCGCTTAGAGGCCGCTCCATCCGGGAGCTCAAGGCGTGGCTCAAGGAGGTGGGCGGCAGCGACTCCGGCCTGCTCGAGAAGGCGGACCTCATCGACGCGCTGATTGCCAAGGCGGGTGGAGGCATGATTGCCTCGCGGGTCGTGGCTGCCACCGAGGGCGGAGGCGAGGGCTGCCCGCCCCTCTGCGTCTGCGGCGGCGCGCTGGAACGCCTCACCGGGCGGGCGCGGATGCGGCAGCTGCTAATTGAGCAGCATGGAGTGCGAGAGTCGGCGAACATCGACGCGCTGCTCGACCACGCAGCAGACCGGCTGCCCTCGTCCGTCATCTGCGACTTGTGCGACACGCAGCTGTCCCCCTTGCAGCCGGTCTACACGTGCGCAAACGGCGACGCGACCATCCTGCACCCCACCACGTACGACGTCTGCGAGGTCTGCTTCGTGCGCTACGCGGTGGAGGGCCTCGGGGACGAAGCCCTCGCCACCGAACGGCAGCTCCTGTACGAGGAGGAGGAGATCGAGGCCCAGGAGGAGGTCGAGGCGCAGGAGAGCGGCGGGCGCGGGGAGGCTGCTAGAGGAGCGTTGGAAGGCTGAACGTGCGAACTCTGTGGGGCCTGTGACGGGGTGCCGAGAGTGTGGAGACTTCTCTTTGTTCGAGAGAGCTCGCTGCTCGATCTCGTTTTAAGTTTCGTTGTTGAAAGAACGAGAGTGCAGAGAGACGGTACACATGGCAGCCGCATGTGCGCCACGCGCAGCTCTAGTGGCGGTTGGAGTTTGGGTGGTGGCACAAGGCGGCACAAGGGCAAAGCCGAACGAAGGGGCAAAGCCACAACGGGGTGTCCACAGAACGCAGAGGGGCAGAGCTGAAAAATGCGAAATACGGCGGGGCTGGTCGCGGTGTGCTTGGCCCGCTCGCCCAGGCGACGGACCGCTCGCCCTAGCCACCCTCCCACACGCCGCGAATCCACGTCTCGAGCGGCCGCAGCAGCCGCTTCGACGGCGACACGTGCGCACCTACAGGAGTGGCGGCGGAACGCGTCGGAGCGCGCGTGCCCTGGCGCTCGGGCCTCGCCGAGGGAAGAGGACAGGCTGGCCCGCGCTCGAGCTCGCAGACGCGTCGCTCGAGAGGGCGGCCAGCGGCGGCACTTCCGGCGCGCTCGACTCCTCCGACAGCAGCCTCCGCGCCCGGGTTCCTGAACAAGGAACGCGGCGGCTCAAGGAGACAGAAAGAGCTGTCGATCGCCGCTCCGCGCGCGGTCGCCGTCCGCCATCCGCAAGCCCGACGCGGCGCGCTCGTACGCGCGCGGCGCGGCGGCGGCGCCGGCGCCCAACTCGGCCTCGTATGAGTTTGTCCACAAGTCGAAGACCACGCCGCCCGACGCAAGGGTCGGCATCGGCAACCGCTGCGAGAAATCGAGGCGCAGCATCTCGTGGGCCGTCCCCTCGCTGGCGGCGAGGGCGCCGAAGAGCTGCCGCTCGCCTAGAGACCGGCAACGCCGCCTCGACTGGCGGGCCGGGCGAGCGCGGCGCAGCAGCGGGGCGACAAGCAAGTGCGCCCGCGCCGCCCAACTCGGACGCGTGGTGCAGCAGCGAGAGGGCCTCGTCGCGGGAGAGAGCCTGCAGCAGCCGCGGCTCGAGCAGCCGGAGCAGCTCGACGGCGACGTGCCTGCGGACGTGTCGTGAGGGACGCGTCGCGGGCGTGTGCGGCCGAGAGAGCGGCGGCGTGTGCGGCGACGCGCGCGGCGGCGACGCGCCAGAGCAGCGCCTCGCCGTCGCGCAAGTAGCAGTCCCAGACCCTCGCCGCCGTGTCGAGCGCGAGGGTGGAGAGGAAGAGCGACGAGAGCCAGTCGCACACAAAGTCGTCGAGCCCGACGCCGAGCGAGCCTAACACACACACAGGGGGCGCCGCGAGCTCGAGGAGGGGCGGTAGCGGTGGGTCTGCCAGCCGCAGCGAGACGCCGAGCGAGCCCACAGGTGCGGTCTCGGCTACCCCTCGCGGCTAGCCGTGTGAGCGGCTCGAGCACCGCCGCCTCATCTCCGGCGTCTCTCGGCTATGTCTCGGCTGCATCTCGACCAGATCTCGGCCAGATCTCGGCCAGATCTCGGCTAGACCTCGCCCAAGTGCTCGAGCGTCTCGGGCAGCTCGCGCTTGAGGCACGAGCGAGTGGCGCGCAGCCGCCACGCCAGCTGCGGCGACCCCTCCTCCACGTGCGCGAGGAAGTGCCTGCCGAGCAGCGAGGCCATTCATAGCTCACGACGGCCCCTCAGCTGTGAACTGGGCGAGGACGTGCCTCCCGAGCAGCGTGCACATGCAGCCGTGCGCGGACGGCGGCTCGAGGTAGAGCAGCAGCGCCTGTTGGCGTGTCTCGGACATGTCATGGACGTGTCCTGGACGTGACAAGGGGCTCGAGGTAGTAGAGCAGCCGCGCCGCGCAGAGCAGAGCCGCGTGGCGGCGCAGCGGCGGCGCGCCGATGCGCGCGCCCGCCTCGAGCGCGGCGAGCAGCGAGACGAGCTTCGCGTGCATCGGCGACGCGCTGTTGGTGAAGAGGTTGAACTCTGGCGGCGCACCTTGAGCGGCAGCGGAGGACCAGGAGTGAGCGACGCATCGAGGGTGGTGGCCACGGTTGAGCTCTGGCGGCGCACCCGCCCACGGCCGCTCGACGGGCGACGCCGAGCCGGCGGCGGCGGCGGGGCGGGCGAGCGCGCTCTGTATCCGGTCGAGCGCCGCCACGCGGTCGACGGGGCGCGTCTCCGCCACCGCCGCCTCGTAGCCCGCCCTCCCCGCCGCCGCCTCGCCGATCGCGATCCGCCACAGCTGCGCGCGCACCGCGCTCGGCGCCCCCTCCCACCAGAGCAGCTGCGTGCGCGGCTCGAGGCTTGCAGACTCCCAGTTGGGGAGGATCTCGCACCACCAGACGGACGTCGCGCTCTCGACGAAGGCCTCGCGTGGCTGGCCTGTTCACAGCTGCAGGTGTGAAGAGACGCTGTTCACACCCTCCCTGTTCACACCCTCGCGTGGCTGGCCGCGCAGCGCGACGCGGCGCGCGTGCTGCTCGAGCTTGGTCCGCTCGACCACCTTCGTCCGCAGCGAGTGGGCGGCACTCAGCGTGTCATTCTCTCTCCGCTGCTCCTGCTGTTGTGGTCCGCTCGGGGCCACCTGCTGGAAGTAGTGCGTCCGCAATGCCATACTCGGAAGTGTCTCGGAAGTGTCTAGCCACCTGCTGGAAGTAGTGCGTTCGCAATGCCATACTCGGGAGTGTCTCGGAAGTGTCTCGGAAGTGTCTGGCCACCTGCTGGAAGTAGTGCGTCCAGATGCCATACTCCTCGGGCGTGAGCGCCTACCCCAAACAGCGCTCCGGCCTGAGGCTGCCGCGATGGCGTAGAGGAACGCCGCGCTCGCCGTGGCTGCGGACGCGCTGCTCGCGGCGGTGGCGGAGGCGGCACCGGTGCGGCGGGCTGGCTGGCTTCAGCCCTCCACCCCTCGCCAACATTGTGTGGGCGCGTGCGGCGGCGGGCGGCGAGGCGGGGGGCGCCTGCAGGTCGAGCGTGCGGCCGCCACACACGAGCGAGAAGCAGGCGGCGCCGTCCGACGACTCGGCGCGGACGCCGTTGCGGCGGAAGACCTCGCTCGCCGGTCCGAGCAGCACGGTCTCGATGAGGCCGAGCGGGATCGCCTTCTCCTTCTTGCCGCGCGCGGCGAGGTTCTGGTAGCGCAGCTCGTCCGCGACGACCCAGAGGCGGCACGAGTGGTGCCTGTGGACATGGCTCGGCGACATGTCAAGGCCGCGCCTCCTCGCGGGCGGCAGGCCAGAGGCGGCACGAGTGGCGCCGGTCGGCGGCGAGCCGCGCGTGGTTGAACTTGCGGAAGGTGGAGCCCTGCCGGAAGAACTCGAGCAGCTCTGCCTCGCCCATGTCGTCGTGCGACATGCCCGTCCGGATCTCGTCCGTCTGGATGTCGTCGTACACGGCCGACAGCAGCTCCGCGGGCAGGTCGGCGCCCGAGTCGATGCCGCGGTTGTTGCGCACGAAGTCCGCCTTGCTCATCCGGTTCTTGGCCTTGATCTGCACCGAGTGCGCGTCCGTGTTGAGCATGATGACGGAGAAGCCGAGCACGTACGCCGTGTCCGCCGACGA